TCTGTCTCCATGTGGCTTCTTTAATTTCATAGCTGTAGGATTTCCATTCAACTCAATTTCATGTGGTTCTGAATGATGGTTTTTCTGTAGTTTAGTTGTAATTTTGATGTAATCGTGGGAGGAGGCAATACCGTGTTTACCTATTCTGCTGTCTTGACCCAAGAGACTTTTTTTTCAACTGAGAAATGACCTTGGGTTATTCCTATGGGCCCTGGAATGCCTCAAGGATTTATTCTCTCGCCTAAGTTTTAGAACTAATTGGGCCTATTTTATATGCTTGAAAAATTATATGGGAAGCTTTGCCAAATAGAAAATTAATAATAACTGCTTTATTTACATACATATATTTTTATTAAAAAAAAGATGTTCTAGAAATTTCAGTCTACTCTGAAAAGGAACCTACAGAGATTCAGAGCCAAGTTCAAATATGTTACATCTTTAAAGGACTATCTTTAATGGCTAAAAAAAAAAAAAAAGGCAGTCATTTATTAAAAAGCCACTTTGAAATTTGTGAAATGGTTCATCCACCCTTAGGCTAAGGAGCAGCTGTGCTTTAGCAGGACTGTGGTGAGCACTGCATGGGGCTTCGCCACAAGCTTCTCACGCTGCTCCTGTGCCCTTGAGGACATCCTGCATGTGAAGTATCCTCGTGCAAGGTGACAGCAAGAAGGACGGTCCTCAGGTCATGAAGGACTGCATGCTGAAACGTTTCAGAGGACGGGCCTATATACATATTTCTGACCTGTGGTTTTAGAAAGTGAGGATCCAGAAGCTAAACTTGACATTGTTGGATCCTCCGTGCACACAGATCATGACCACTATAACATCTACAACCCAGATGAAGATGAGTTTTGGTTTATAAGAGAGTTGTCCAGGGAAGCCCACTGTCCAGTAAGTGTTTATAGCTAAGGAAAAAACGGATGCAAGAGATAGGTAGCACTTTTTATTTTGCACAAAGAGATCCCTTAAATATTGTAAAAAGGGAAGCCCTGGTTTTGGTCATATCACACTGACCCTCCTCAATTAAGGATATTTCCTGGTCAACAGCAGAGAATCTGTGTTGAAGCAGAGACATCGTCTTATCTTGGGACAAGTAGATTGAGTTTGGAGGAGGACTAGAAATCCATGTCAGCTTTCAAAAGAGGAGTGAAAACAATTTTTCAGCTATGAAAATATGAAATGTTTAGATCAATGGCCCACTAACATACCAGCTCTGCCTGAAACCTCCCGTGATACTGCTGGCACTATTGTCACTGAAGACGCGGCAGGCCCGGTGGCCAGGGCAGGGTGGTGGGTATGTGCGTGCCGCCAACCAAAGGTGTGCCACAAGTGCATGGGAGTGGGTGAAGTGAATTGCGGTAATTCTTGGGAGGGAGAATTCTGGAGCACAGCTCTTTCTCACAGGATAAGATATGCTGAATTTTCCTTGTTGAGGAACCAGAGAGCCCTTGGAGTGCGCATGAAATTCACAGAGCTCTTTGGAGGGAAAAAGCAGAGAGGGGGGGTGGAATTCATAGCATCAAACAAGTACAGGTGGACTTTGTCTTTAATTCCAAATGGTGATAAACTGACAAGACACTGGAAAATAGTTGTGTGGGAGCAATAGAAGGAACGAAGAGACAGTGACTAAGGCCATTTCCAGAAACTAAAACAGACATGAAAGTCATGGGGAGTCAGGTTGACAAGGTGGTGGTGGGGGGGGGGTAGATGCTCTTAACATTCCTTTTGGCCCCCCCCTTAACTCCATCGGTTCTAGCTTAATAATTCTACAAATTATAAACAAATTAAATTGATTTTAAAGAGAGAGAAAAGGAGAGAGAGAGAGAGAAACATTGATGTGAGAGAGAAACTGATCTGTTACCTCTTGTATGTGCCCTGACGGGATCAAACACGATACCTTTTGGTGTACGAGATGATGCTACAACTGAGCACCCGGCTGGGCTCTAGTTGGCTTTTTATGGTGTATCTCATCTATTCCTGCAGGGGATTTGCCAGCAACTACATGTAGCACTGCATTTGGCTTTTTTTTCCCAGTCCCTTTCTCCTTGTTCAATAAACATTGAGTTCCTACCATATGGCAGAAAGGTACCAAGTATAAAGAGATTAATTAGATATATTTCTGACTGATCACCTTAAAGTCTGGTGGAAGGAAGGATCTTATAGCTCATTAAGCCGACAGATTGGTTTATAGACAAACTGGAAAACAGTGACAGGTCTGGATTTTCTGTAGAAAGCCCAGAATAGTGTGATCTGTTCAGGGTATTTTCTTTTTTTCTTCTTTATTGATTTTAGAGAGAGAGGAAGGGAGAGGGAGAGAAACATCAATGAGAGAGAACATCAACTGGCCACCTCCTACGTGCCCCGACTGGGAATCGGGCCCACAACCTGGGCATGCGCTGTGACCGGGAATCAAACTGGCGACTTCTTGGTGCACAGGTCAATGCTCAGCCACTGAGCCACACCAGCCGGGATGCTCAGGGTCTTAACCAGGGTGAGGGTTAGGGAAGGTAACTAGTGGACTGTCTTGAAGTATTATTTATATTGCTCTTTACAAAAACTTGATAAAACTCTAAGATCCGGGGAGAAACCTCAGCAATGTGTTCACGTGCTTGTATGTTTTTGTAAAGTCGGCAAATGGAAGGACCCAAAATATATGTATTTGGTAGTCAGCACTAATTGACTACATGCCATGATCCTAAATATTTTAAAGGTTCTTGGAAGTGATGTGCCTTAAGATGCCAGCCTGCACCTGTGTAAGTTTGAGTAAACTACTACATCTCCCCATGGTTCACGATGCTCGTCTATAAGATGAGGTTGATAATATTAACTATTATCTGCGAGAGCTTAATGTACTCTGTTCTGAGCCTTTATATGTATTCTTTTACTTGACTCATCAACTATTCTATGAGGCAGAAAATTCATCTCCAATTTATATATGAGGAGACAGCCGAAGAGAGTGTAAGTGGCTTGCGTAGTCACAGTGGCCAAACTGGCAGACACAGGAGACTGAATCCCCAGCCCGGGCTCCACCCAACAGCAGCTGCGGCAGCTGCTCTTTTCAACAGGGTTGCTCTCAATTCAATTTAAATCAATTTAACACAACAAATACCTCTCCAGTGCCTACTTGGGAAGGACTCCCTTTTGAAAATCAAGCAATATATAGGATAATTTATATTTAATACCAGTGCTTGGGAGAAGTCCTGATATTTTTACAATAAAAGCACTAAAGCAAATAAGTAAATACTCTTAATTTATCAAATCTACAAAGAACGAAGAGGAATTTTAACAGGTACCCTAACCTAAACATTCTTCTGTTTGAATATGCATATAATTAGAACAGCTAGACTCCCCCTTAACTGTGACAGTGTTATGATGGGGGGTAGTTTGAAGAGTTCAGACAACTGGGAAAGCCAATTCTGACTGCCGCTGTTGCTGTGGCGATCGCTCAGATGACTTGCCTCCCAGAGCACTGGGCGTCTTTATCCTTGCTACCCCAGACGGAAATCCTTTCCTGGTTACCAGCCTTGGTCCGTAAGGTGCATCCACATGAAGTTGCTTGGTCATCTGTTCACACTGCACACCTAATGCAGAACCTGGCACAGACGTTTGCCTTAACACATGCCTGTTCTGCTTCTTTTGGCTTCATTTTTGATTGTTGCAGGGATCAAATCCCTTGTTAGCTGCTGGGGAACCAAACTCTGCGTAATAACTAAGGGTGAGTGTGGGATGCATTTGTGATAACAAGCACTTCATCAGCCTCTTACGAGGGGCATAAACAGTAAGACAACACACCACCTGTTCCAAGCTTGGGTCTATTTTTGCTCACATTTACTTTCTTTTACCTTCCAAGTTCAGGCTCAAATTGCCTCACATCTTGACTACAAGAACCTATTGGCTGGGTGTGCCTTTCCCCACCTGTGCATCTCAGAATGCGATAAATGGATCCATCTCACCGTATCTTCATTAAAAACTTCTGGTGGCTCTCCACTGCTCACAAAATAGAACCCAGACCTTGGCTTTCACAACTCTCCCTCCAGAATCTACTTACATTTTCTCTTTCCCATGCCAACTCCAAAGCACAATTAAAAGTGTCAACAGCTCCTATGTAAATTCTTCACTTTTCCCAATCCTGGTTCTTTCCTGTCTGAAATCAACCTTCTTGGTTCTCTTTTCATAAAAGCTTAATTTGAATTCCTACTGTCTCCATGAATCCCTATTTTTCCTTTTTTCTAGCTCTCTCTCTCTCTCTCTCTTCCATAGACTATCGTTACTTTGTACTACAGCTATTAAGTACGGCCTGTGAAGGCAGAACATTACTTTAAAGTTTGCAGTGTGCCCACACCCTGTCCCCCTGCAGTGCCAAGCATAGTTCCTTACGGAAAATACTCATTCAAAAAATGTATTTATTTTTTTCAGCTAGATGTATATTTTGGTTTCTCATCACTGACTTGTAGTTAATAAAATATCTTGGATATTTTTTCCTATAGAGATGAGGGATGGAGTAATGTAATGCTCGTTTATAACGAGGTTCTCTGCAAAGTCTCCATCTTTAAATATTACTTTAAATCTACTTTCATAAGTCATACACAATGCTTAGTTTGCAAAGCTAGTAGTAATTTAAGGAAACTGTTTTTTTAATCCTTACCTGAGAACATGCTTTTATTGATTTTAGAGAGAAAGGGAAAGAGAAAGAGAGATGTGAGTGACTGCCTCCCGCACGTGCCCCGAACAGGGATCAAATCCACAACCTGGGCGTGTGCTCTGAGTGGGAATCGAACCTGCAACTTTCAGTATATGGGATGACTCTCCAACTGCGCCACACTGGCCAGGGCAAGGGGACTATCTTTTAAAAGCCATTTGAGTCAAGAAGAGATGTGTGATTATTATTCTAAAATCTAGTTAAATGTTTAATATAATAAAAATTTTAAAAATAGTTGTAAAGGCTTAGATAAGATAAAAACCAACTTTCATGGAACTCGAGATGGTATAGAAAGGGGTAGGTTTTATTTATCAATACAATCATCAAAAACATTTAAAAAGAGGAGTAGCTTCAAAAAAGAAAACAAAAACACAGATAGAAGAAATATGCCCCAAGCACTTTCTAGAAAGGGTTACAGAAACTTGGACTACCCCTCCTAGACCACATGCCTCTTAGAAAAGCAAACAGCAACAAACATTCCAAGTTCCGGATCATCTCCGCCCTTGATGTGCAGGGGGCCCGGACATCCAGAGACACCCCGCATCAGCTCAGGGGCACAGTTCCCGATACTCATGGCTACTCAGAGGTGTGCTAGGCAGGAAGTGTGCCGCAGAAACCGTCTGCGACTCTAGCTGAGGTGCAGAGGACAGACAAAGGCCACTTTTCTCCTTTTTTCCTTTCCCATGCCTTTGCTTTACAAATAGAAAAACCCTCCACGGAAGTACCGAGGTCCCTGGGAGAGGATCCGGTGAACTAGCAATACAGACAAATCAAGACGATGTGGATTCGAGGAGTGTGGTCAGTGATGCGTCTCCTTCGTCAGCCACCTGTGTGCTTCCGGAATGGGTGGTGTCCTCGGGACTAAGGCAGCTCAGGCCTCGGAGATCTGCCGCAGTCCCAGAGCCGCCACTGCTGCCAGCACCAGAAGGTCACCTATAAGACTGTCCTTCCCCTGACCCGACTCGTGCACCAGAACCGCCCACAGGGAGCCACGCAGGACGAATTCAAGTGCACATTCTGCATCGTGCCAGAGCACCAGGCTTAGGTGCTACTCCTGAAGCAGGCTCCGTGAGATCAGCATCCTCATCACTTCGTTGCTCCCTGGAAGAGGAGGCGAGAAGGACGGAGTTAGTAGCAGCGAAGTGTGTCTGAGAGCTGGCAGAGCTCTGACCGGGTGCTCTCAGCCTAGCCGCCTGCAGTCCCGATAGAAACGCAACTGCGGCTTTTACCGCTGCAGGGGACCTAACTACCGCAGACTTCTCTCCAGAGTAGAGATAGGTCAGAAAGTGAGGGATAAATTTACTTATAAAAAATCCTCTCCTGATGTAAAAATGCTCATGTCGGGTGAAAGAAGAAAGGAGGAGGAGGAGGGGGAGGGGGAGGGGGAGGAGGGGGATGGGGAAAAGGGGGAGGAGGAGAAGAAGACATGGTATATATACTTCTATTTTTAGAAAGTGTACCTATAAAGCATAGAAAAAGACCAAAGGAGATATTTTTGGACTCAAATATGAAATGAATCCAAAGTTTTCAACAATAAATACACAACACTTCTTTGGTAATCAGAACACTCCATTTTATTTATTTATTTTATTTTTATTTTTTTCAATCCTCACCCAAGGATATTTTCCCATCTATCATCAAATAGAGTGGGAGGAAGGGAGAGAGAGAGAAACATTGATGTGAGAGAGACACACTGACTGGCCGCCTCCCACACGACCTGACTAGGGTCAGGACAAACTGCAACCAAGGTATGTGCCCTTGACTGGAATTGAACCCCCAACTCATTGGTGTGCAGGCCGACGCTCTAACCACTGAGCAAAACCAACCAGGGCAGAATACTCCATTTCATTTTATTATTATTATTTTTTTTAATTCTCACCTGAGGACATTTTTGCATTTATCTTCAGACAGAGCAGGAGGGGGAGAGGGAGGAAGAGAGAGAAACACTGATGTGAGAGAGACACATCTAGTGGCTGCCACCCACATGACCCCAACTAGGCCGGGGACAAACTGCAACTGAGGTATGTGCCCTTAGCAGGAACTGAATCCGGGACTCTCTGGTCCGTGGGCCGATGCTCTAACCACTGAGACAAACCTGCCAGGGCAGAACACTCCATTTTAAGAGAACATTTTCCGCCCAGCCGGTGTGGCTCGATTCCTGGTCAGGGCACATGCCCAGGTTATGGGCCTAATCCCCACGGGGGGCATGCAGGAGGCGGCCAGTCAATGTTCTCTCTCATCAATGTTTCTATCTCTCTCTCCCTCTCCCTTCCTCTCTCTCTAAAATCAATACAAGAAAAAATATTTAAAGAACATTTTCCCTGAGAGGGCTCAAAGGCGTGCTTCATTTTTACAATGGCCTTTAATGCAAAGACAAATATGAACCCCTGAGGGGTGAATAATCACACATCTCAAATAAAATAAAATAAAAAATTTCAGATTTGTCCAATAACAAAATCTATGAAAAAACAAAGTGATAAAGATCAGTGCCAAGACTGATGGTGGGGCCTGATTCAAATGTATCCGGCTTTTCCCATTTATTCTAACAGGGTTAAAAGACAGAATTTCTGTGAAGGTAAAGCTTCCTGTTCTCACAATGCTGGGTGAGAGAGGAACCTTGGGAGTAGCAGAGGAGTAAACTAGAGCAGAGGAGCGAGGCTGGAGCAGGGGAGCGAGGCTGGAGCAGAGGAGCGAGGCTGGAGCAGGGGAGCGAGGCTGGAGCAGAGGAGCGAGGCTGGAGCAGAGGAGCGAGGCTGGAGCAGAGGAGCGAGGCTGGAGCAGGGGAGCGAGGCTGGAGCAGGGGAGCGAGGCGCGGGCAGGGGAGCCAGGCGCGAGGCTGGGGAGAGAGGTGCCAGGCTGGAGCAGGGGAGTGAGGCTAGAGCAGGGGAGTAAGGCTGGGGCAGGGGAGCGAGGCTGGGGCAGAGGAGTGCGGCTGGTTCAACCTGAGCACCAGCAGTTGAGCTCATAAACATACTTCAGGGATGAGGTGTGTGCCAAGCAGCCGACTAACCTTTAGGTGCCTGTGATTTGAACGTAACACAGAACAGTGGGTCTCAGAGTGTGGTTCTCAGACAAGTGCCAAACAGCTTCACTTGAAAACTTATTACAGATGCAAATTCTCTGGCCACCCAAGACCTCTGGAGACAAAACTCTGGGGGTGGGCCCAGCAACCTGTTTCCACAAGCCCTCCAGGTAATTTTCACGTGTGCCCAGGGTTGAGAAGGCTGCTTTGAAAGCGGCAGGAAAGCCAGTGCTCAGAGGCTTCTTACTGTGCCCTGTTAAAGCAGCCACAAATTATTCCACTGAAAGTCGCTTAGACCAGCTTCGCCACATCTGCTTTTCCGGCAGAGTAACAGCCCCAGCTAGCTACAGCAGCTGGAACAACAGGGATGCAACTTCAGGACACGCACTGGCGTGGAGAGTGGAGAAGGCCATGCCCTGAGCATGAGTCCACTAGCTTACACTTTCCCCAGCCCCAATGTCTGTGATGACCAGGAAGATACCTATTTACTGATGATGTATTTGACTGAAAAACCCAGTAGCAATACTGACAGAGATATCTTTGAGACCATCTGGCTGCCAACCAACGTGTAAAGGCAGTGGTGGTCAAACCGGCTCACGTTTAAATCACTGCGCAGAAGTTTGGGGATTCCCGAGGACCAAGTTCTTACTTTACAACAGTAGAGAGCAGCCACTGCTGGAGTTCTCAGAATGTTTTCTCACATACCATCTCAGCGTCAGCCTTCTCTAAAGTTTACAAAGAGAAAGCTCAGAAGTGAAGCCCCCAGGCTAGTGCTCTCTGCAGGGCAGGGTCGGGAGGGAGGAGGAAGGAAGAAGCCAGGCAGACAGGGCCTGGGGAACCCTGAGAAGCAGTCACTAGGCTGGAACCACTGTGGAAGGAAGGGAGCACGCCCTGGAAGTGTTCACCCTCTGCCCGGCCGGTGTGGCTCAGGGGCTGAGCATCGACCCTGCACCAAGAGGTCGCCAGTTTGATTCGGGTCAGGGCACATGCCCAGGTTGTGGGCCTGATCCCAAGTGGGGGGCATGCAGGAGGTGGCCAATTGATGTTCTCTCTCATCGATGTTTCTCTCTCTCTCGCCCTCTCCCTTCCAATCTCTCTAAAAATCAATAAAGAAATTAAAAGGAAAAGAAAAATGCTCACCCTCTAGGATCTGGTGGACCCTGCAGTCCCGCACATACTGCTGCACAGCGAAGTCCTTCAGGTAGCCGTAGCCTCCGTGCATCTGTAAGGCCTGGTTGCAGATCTGCGGGGAGACAGGAGGAGGCACCCTTCACTTCTGGAAGACGGAACAAGTGCTTCCCTCCACCCAGGCCCCAGTCTGGCAGCTTGCTGTGAACTAATGTGAGAAAGAACCACCTACACAGATAACCAGCAAGCCAAAAAGGTGCTCCACGTTCTCTGGTCAGAGACAAGAGACGTTCACCTGCTGAGCTTATCAGTTCCCACCAGACAGGCAAAGCAGAGAACCCTGTCTTTCTGGCTGGAGGGGAGGAGCTCCCTGCAGCCACCAGGGCTGGAGAGCTGGGACTCTATGAAGCTAAGACGCCATCTAGTGGCAACATAGCCTCAATGTGGAAATGGCCTTGCCTCTGACCTTACAAACTGCTCATCTGAGCAAGAGGCAATGGGCTGCTCTGAACTTCTTCCAAAGGTAGGTCTCGTCTACAACACAACCAGACGACAGTGACAGAGTAACTGTGCAACGGTCGGGACAAGTAAAACGCCCGCTGTGAGAGCTCCCTGGCGGGCCCTCACGAGTTAACATACATCCTAAGAACCAAGGTGATCCCTGCGGCATCCCAGGAGTTCACTTAAGGGGCTCAACATACCTAGACCCAGCGCTGCTTCCAGCTCACCCAGGAGAGCCAGAAAGCATCACTTACAGCAAAACATTCGTCTGTAGCAAAGAGCTTGGCCATGGAGCACAGGGACACCGCGTCTTCCCGCTCCTCCTGCAGAGCCACTGCCGCATTGCGGATCATCAGCCGCGAGGCCACCAGCCTTGTTGCCATGTCAGCCAGTTTGAATTGCAGGTACTACAGCATTAGGGACAAGACAGCCAGACAAGACAGACAGGCTTTGAGCATCACCTGACTGGGGCCCTCTGCAAGTCATCTCCAAGGAGGCACTTTTCTAAGTGACTCGGAGCGTCAAAGCCTGTGCTTCTTCTACAGAGAAAATGTATTGCCTATAAGTTCTGAGACCACTTCACTTACCTTGCACTTATTACCTCTGGAAAAAATTACTGATAGAGCACAAGTTCTGCCTCAGATGCGGCAGAATTCCCCACTCTCCTGAGAGTGTGGGCCACAGACCAGTCTCGTGCAGACTGGGAGGCACGTGCAGAGACGCCTGGACAGTACCTGGTTCCTGGCCAGAGGCTCTCCAAACTGCTTCCGGACATTGAGGTAGTCTCGGGTGAGGACGACTGAAGCGTGCGCAGCCCCGAGAGAGCAAGAGGCTGGAAGGGAACAGTGCCGACGCTGCAGCTGAGCCGGAGGGACTGTGCCGCCTGCCCCGGCTGTGCGCGCCCGCCCTGTCCCTTCCAGTGCTCACCAACGTTGATCCTCCCTCCATTCAGTCCTTTCATGGCAATAAGGAAGCCCTGCCCCTCGTTCCCAATTCTGTTGGCCGCAGGGACAGCACAGTCTTCCAGGATCACGGCTCGGGTTGGCTGTGAGTTCCACCCCACCTGCAAAAATCAGGGACTGTGGCTGCCGACCACTCACCCCTCGGGGCAGTGTTTCTGTGGACGAAAGCCCATGAAGTACAGGTTCCATTCTCCTCAGACTGAGGCCCCTGAGAACTTAAAATGAGGAAAAATAAAAGTTCAGATTAAATATCTGACAGATTTTTTTTTAGCTAACCATTTTTTTTTATCCTCACCCAAGGACATTTTTGCATTTATCTTTATTTATTTTTTATTTTTTATTTTTTTTATCCTCACCCAAGGACATTTTTCCATTTTTTGTTCAGATAGAGCGGGAGGGAGAGAGAGGAAGAGAGAGAGAAACATCGATGTGAAGGGACACATCGAGTGGCTGCCACCCGCAAGACCAACCAGGGCCGGGGACAAACTGCAACCAAGGTACGTGCCCTTAGCGGGAACCGAACTCAGGTCTCTCTGTACCGCAGGCCGACACTCCAACCGCTGAGCCAAACCGGCCAGGGCTGCATTTATCTTTAGATAATGCGGGAGGGAGAGAGGGAGGAAGAGAGAGAGAGAAACATCAATGTGAAGGAGACACATGGAGTGGTCGCCACACACACGACTGCAACCGGGGCCAGGGACAAACTGCAACCGAGGTACCTTCCCTTAATGGTAACCGAACCTGGGTCTCTCTGGTCCGCGGGCCGACGCTTCTAACCGCTGAGCCAAACTGGCCAGGGTATCAGCTAAACATTTTTTAACATATTAAAAGTGTCTATTTTCTAATGTCACTCTACCAGATTAGTGTACCCACAAGCATTTCTCACAATTTCCTTTAGGATTGGGGCAGGGTGTCATCATGTTTGGTGCCTCTATGCGTACACTGTTTTATAAAAAACACAGATAATGTAAGAGTTACTTGGACTGTTTGTCCTCAGGTAAGGATAACATCACAATCATCAGCCACACTTCTCCTCTGACGGGCTCAGTGCCCTCCTGGGTGTCAGCGATGGCACGCAGACTGGCCCTGCCCAGCGGAGCACTAGCTGCGGAGACACCAGGGTCGTGCCCGAGCCGGCGCACAGGAGCTGTCCAGCACTTCTCCTAACGTGGCTTTCAGTGACAGACTGGTGGCCTGAAACCAGCCACGGCTGGAGGGCTGAAACCACAGAAACTGGCAAACTAGGAGGGGTTTTGGTTTTGGTTTTTCCCAGATAGTTGATTTACCAGGACATCCTCAGATATGTCAGTCACAAGCGCAGAGAAAATGGTGAATACCTGGGATACAGTCCATATCATGCAACTACTAGCTGCATTCTTCACTGTTCGCCACACCCACTGGGCTCTCCCATGGCTTCGGTCTCCCTTCCACAAGGGAGTTGCACCAGAAAGCCAGCAGAGACACTTTCCTCAAATAAGGTCTTATTCAGATGTCTCATATAAATAGATAAAGGCTCTCGGTACCTGACCCCTTCATCTCCTCTTCCAGGTACTTCCCAAGCCTTGAAAGAACTTTGAGGTTTGGTGACACAGATTTTAAAACGACTAATTACAAAAGAACCCAGTACGAATGGCTGCCAACTCATAGCTTCTGGCCTCTAACCCCTTAAACCGTGAACACACCTTCTTCCCCTGTGCAGAGAGAAGTCCTCTCCTGGTCCTAGCAGAGCCCTGGGAAGCTGCAGCCAGTGAGCACAGAAGGCCCCTTTCCCTCTGAAGGGCCTACAGCCCTGGACCACTACCACTGGAGCCCATTCCTTCTCGGTCCTGTCTTCTGTCCCACATATTATCTTCGCCCTCTCTTCCAAGAGGTCTCACCTCCACCCCCCAGGAGAAAACTTATGCATCTATACAAAACCTTTAATGATTAAATCCAAGACAAGAAAGCCTCCTAATTTTCCCATAAAGTCAGTGCACAGCTAGTGGGGTAAAGCTCTCAGCTATACATGTGTTAAATATGCAAGTCAAAGCACACGCTTGCAGGCCAGAGGACCCTGCAGTAGGGAGAGGCCGGCTGCTCAGGTCACCAGAACAGCTGAATCAGCACGGGGATCAGTGGCGGCTCCTTACCCTGGCCAGCCAGGCCCTGCCCACCTCTCCAGCTTTAGCCCACATTTCTTCTTTCGTCACTACCCCTGAGCCATTCTGAATACCTCCAAACTGCTCACCTTATTCCAATCCCAGGCCCTTAGTATCTACTGCTGTCTCTGCTCAGAATTCTTTTCACAAATGGCTCCTTCGAACACTTCAGACCTCATCTCAAGTGTCCTGACCTCAGAGTTGGTCCCTCTCTAAAGCAGTTCTCCCCCTTCTGTGTTCTGTCACCCTGTTTATTTCCTTCCTAGCACTGAGCACAGATGGAAGGTTCCCTTTGTCTTCATGTCTGTTACTAAAGTGTAAATTCCACGAGGACAGAGCATGTCTGCCTGTTCACTGCTCTATCCTCACTGTTCACAAGAGTGCCTGGCACTCAGGGCTACTCACCAGCTATCGAAGGAACGAAGAAACCTCCTTGCAAATTTCTTTACAATAAAAAATATATAAAGTACCCTGGCCAGTTTGGCTCAGCAGTTAGAAAGTCAACCTGTGGGCCAAAGGGTCACAGGTTCGATTCCATCAAGGGCACGTACCTGGGTTGTAGGTTCGATCCTTGGCCCTGGTCAGGGTTGTCATGCAGGAGGCAACCAGTCGATGTGTCTCTCTCACATCGATGTTTTTCTCTCTCTCCCTCCCTCCCTCCCTCTTCCACATTCCACTGTCTAAAATTAAATGGAAAAGTATCCTTAGGTGAAGATAAAAAAAAAACTAAAAAAACAAAAAATATATATATATATATCGCAAAACTAACAGAAAAACAAACAAGAAATGAAAGAATATATATATATATATATACACGTATATATGTGTGTATGTATGTGTATGCATGTGTGTGTGTGTGTAATAGTGTGAGGGGAAAAATAGAAAATGAAGAGAAGATACATTTTTTATTTATGGAACTTATTTACAACTTTTCTCCAGGCACTAAACTTGTTAGCTTTGGTAATGTGTTATAATACTTAGGTGTACACTACCTGTGTGTGTTGAAACAATCATCACATCAAAACCTGAACCAGTATAACTGGATCCTATAAAACTGTGTATCAGAGTACATAAGTCAGTCTGTGTTTTATAATCCAAAACCAATATTCCTAGGACTAAGAAATCATATAGCTAAACATCAACATTACAACTGAACTACAGAACGATTATTCAGAACTGCCTGAAATTGAGCTGAACTAAAGTCCTACAAGGAAATTTAAAAAGAAGCCACTTCGAGACTGGTAGGTAGGAGGGGCAGAGACACAGTACAGGCTGGTCCCACACTAACATGTGCAGATAAAAATTGGGAGGGATATCTCAGCTGCGGAGGTCCCCTCTAGGCTGCGCAGGTTCCCCCTAAGGAATGAGGGATCCTAGCCCCACACCAGGTCCCCAGTCCAGGGTTTCAGTGCTGGGAAAAGAAGTCCCCATCACTTCTGGCTGTAAAAACCAGTGGGGATGGCCCTGGCCAGTTTGGCTCAGCGGTTAGAGCGTCGGCCTGTGGTCCAGAGAGACCCGGGTTTGGTTCCCGCTAAGAGCATGTACCTCAGTTGCAGTTTGTCCCTGGCCCTGGTTGGGTTGTGCGGGTGGCAGCCACTCGATGTGTCCCTTTCACGTCGATGTTTCTCTCTCTCTCTCTCTCTCTCTCTCTCTCTCTCTCTCTCTTCCTCTCTCCTTCCTACTCTACCTGAACAAAAAATGGAAAAATGTCCTTGGGGAGGATAAAAAAAAAACAAACCAGTGGGGACTGAGGCTGAGGGAGACAGGGGTTGCTGAAGTCCCAGGCAGCTCCTCTTAAAGGGCCCAGGCAGGCACTTACTCAGATTCACTGCCTCTGAGCTGGTGTGGCAGGGGCGGGGAGAGGGGGCTGTGCTCACAGCAGCTTGAAATGCACCAGGTATATACAGGGAGGAACTGAATCATCAGGCATCAGGAGGAGAGCTGGGGGGCAGCTCTCTCCCAGACACAAGTGCTGGCAGAGACCACTGTTCCTTTGATGAGCCCTCTTCCCATAGAGCCAGCAGGCAGGTGCCAAATCTGAGTCTCCATCAACCTGGCTAACACCGTTCACCCCATCCTGGTGATTCTCTGAGGCCCTGTCCCACCCCACCCAACTTTCAGGCCCACCCAAGCTGTTCCCACAGGCTTTACCATAGGAATGGCCTCTCTTGTCTCATGCTTCAGATTTTCCTAAACTCTCTCAAATGAGCAGCAGCATCTGGCCTCAGCAAGCCCCGTACCTCTTCTAAGTGGCCCCAGGCCCAGCACTAGCAGAGGCCTGCCTTGGTGCACAGCTTGGCCTCACCTGGGTACCTCCAAAACCCGAACAAGTAGCAGCCATCTGCAGATCATGTAATTCATGCTGGGTGGCCCTGGGCAGAACAACAACTGACTTTGGCCTGCTCTTCCTGGGAGACCCCAGAGCCAGCCACTTCCTGCAGCCAATGGGCCTGGGGGTAAATCCCTCCCACTGATGTGCCAACATCAATCAAGGCTCTACTACAATAGGAGAGTGAACACAGCCCACAAGGGGGTGCACCTAGAGTGACCAGTTGTGTGACTGGGAAGGCTGTACCACTGGATCTTATAGGACACCTACGCAGAAGGCCACTCTGTCAAGCCCAGGCGGTGTAGCAGCTCTACCTAATATATAGAAACAAACACAGAGAGGCTGCCAAAATGAGGAGACAAAGAAACATGTCCCAAATGAAAGAACAGAACAAAATACCAGAAAAAGAACTAAACAAATGGAGACGAGCAATCTACTAGATGCAGAGTTCAAAACATTAGTTATAAAAAGTGCTCAATGAACTTAGTGAGAAGCTCAACAACATAGAAAAGGACCAGTCAGCAATGAAGGGTACATTATTGAAATGAAGAATAATCTGCAGGGAACCAACAGTATAGTAGATGAAACCAAAAATCAAATCAGTGATTTGATTTGGAATATCAGTGATTTGGAATATAAGGAAACAAGAAATACCCAATCAGAACAGCACAAAAAAAAAAGAATAAAAAAAAAATGAGGATAGTGTAAGAACCCTCCGAGACAACTTCAAGTATACAAACATTTGCATAATGGGTGTGCCAAAAGGAGAAGAGAGAGAGCAAGAAATTGAAAACCTATTTGAAAAAATAATGACAGAAAACCTTCCTTACCTGGTGAAAAAAATAGACATACAAGTCCAGGAAGTGCAGAGTCCCAAATAAGATAAACAAAGAAAAAGAAAATAAAGGCCCACACCAAGACCCATTATAATTAAAATGCAAAAGGTTAAAGACAAAGAGAGAATCTTAAAAGCAGGTAGAAAAAAACAGTTCCCTACAAAGGAGCTCCCATAACACTGTCATTTGATTTCTCAACAGAAACTTTGCAGGCCAGAAGGGAGTGGCCTGCAAAGTGATGAAAAGCAAGGACCTACAACCAAGATTACTCTACCCAGGAAAGCTACCTTTAGAATTGAAGGACAGATAAAGAACTTCTCAAACAAGAGAAAGCTAATGGAGTTCATTACCACCAAACCAGTATTATGAAATGTGAAAGGGTCTTCTTTAAGAAGAAGAAGAAACAAAAAGATAAAAAATATGAACAGTAAAATGGCAATAAATATATATAATTGAATCTAACAAAATAAAGGAACAAGGAGAACAGAGACAGACTCTGTTAGGAACAGAGATAGATAAGGAGAACGTTTTGACTGTTGCCATGTGGGCGGGGGATTGGTGGGTTGGGTGAAAAAGGTGAAGAGGCCCTGCTGGTGTGGCTCAGTGGTTGAGCATTGACCGACCCTGCATCAAGAGGTCGCTGGTTCAATTCCCAGTCATGGCACAAGCCCAGGTTGTGGGCCGATCCCCGATGGGGGGCATGCAAGAGGCAGCCAATTGATGTTCTCTCTCATCAATGTTTCTTTCTCTCTCTCCCTTCCTCTCTCTCTAAAAAAAAAAAAAAAAAAATCAATTAAAAAAAAGTGAAGGGATTAAGGGGTACAAATTGGTAGTTACAGAATAGTCATGGGGATGTAAAGTACAGCATATGGAATGTAGTCAGTAACATTCTAATAACTATTATGGTGTCAGATGGGGGTGAGATTTTGGGGGATGATCACTTAGTAAGTTATGTGATGTCTAATATAATAATGTATGTCAACTGCATTGAAAATTTAAAAATGATGAAAATGAAGAAAAAAAAAAGAAGTCCTATAGCTATATATCGTATATGTCACACATGGTATATATGTCTTATAATCCCAAACAAGGCTGGGAGTGGCTTCTGAATCCCTCTAGGAGTTAGCATAAGACTTTCGTACAGCAGGTATCTAGTAAATACTTACTAAGTTACAAAGAGGGCATTAATGACTCCTTGGCAGTTACAAAGGACTAGGAAGGACCATGCAGGAAAATTTGGAAACTCTAGGAGCCGTCAGAGAAGTACATTTAGAGGTTATTTCATTACCTGACTTCACCCCAAAAGTCTTAACTATAAGAGTAACTATCGGAGGTAAGATGACTGTTCCAGCCATCTGGCCTAACAAATCTGAGTGGGTCTCACCCTTATCACCAGCTAAAGTTACATAATTACAGTTCTACTGTTCATGGCCTGACTATGAGATTTCTTAGTCCCAGAAATGTGTTCTCAAAGCACCCATGGAAACACTCTCCCTCTGAACATTACTGAAATACTCACAATTATCTGCAATGAGTTATACTTTTATTTAAAGAAGAAAAGTGGTCCATCTACATCATTCCTGAGATTTCCAGTCAACACTAGATCTTCTATAAGTATTTCTTCTTGGGATAACAGAGTGCACCAGAATAAGAAGCTAGATAAGAAATACAGGCCAAAATGGAAAGAGGAGGGAGAACAGAGAAATCCCTCACACGGAGAAAACAGGCAGCTTGTGCACTGACTGGTAAACTCTGCCACTTTGCCCAGTAGCCTAGTATTTTGTTAATGACGACTTACTCTACTTCATATGTTCCTGTCCTGTCGAATCCTACAAGAAGCAACTGCCCCCAAGGAAGTCGGAAAACACACGAACCCATCTCCGGAAGAGAGCGGAGCTTGGTCTGGCAGGTGGCAGTCTCATAACCTGCATCGCTTCTGTCAGTAGCCACTTACCTTTTTTTCCTTCTTGCCAAAGCTGAGGCCAGGGGTCCCCTTCTCAACAACAATGCATGAGATGCCTTTGGGGCCTGGTCCTCCCGTTCGGCACATGACCACATAGACGTCTGATTCTCCTCCACCACTGATGAAGGCCTGTGGGGTTGGGATGCGCACAGAGGTCAAGGATGCATTAGTTCTCAGAGCCTGCTATCCAGGAAAACACTTGGGGGCCTCCTGACAAGAGGACACTAAAAAGTACAATAGCACCGACATAAGAAGGGGTAAAAAGAAACTGCACTGATGGAAATCAGGGATCTAGATGATGAGACAATAAAAAGAATGAAATTATAGACAAAAATGAATGAAGTTATCTGGAATCATATCAGAAGAGAGAATCAGTGAAGGTGAGCATAAGAAATGGGTCAGAGGCTCTCTTCCTAACACGTAAAGATCCTATGAGAATGTTAACTTGCAGGAAGGAAGGCTCCAGGCGCTGTCAGCAAGAAGATGGACACAATCTCCAAGTTGTTCTGGGAGGAGAGCCACTGGTACCTTGGAGCCATTGAGGATGTAATGATCTCCTTGCTGTTTAGCTGAGGTCAAAAGGGAGGCAGCATCGCTTCCACTTCCTAAGGTAGGAATCAGAGAGAAATTAAAGGGTGGGGGAGAAAGTCAGTGAAGTTAAGGGAGCTCCAGGATGGTTCCATCTCCTAGGAAACCTTCCCTTATAACAAACAGCTCAGAGTTTGGTACTTTAAAATCCAGATGGCCAAAGGAACTCTCTGTACTTGGTAAAAAGTGCATATAGCCATCAGACCACTTCCATCTTCATCACACTAGCTTACAGTGAGCCTCCTAGGAGCTTGGAGAAACTTTGCTCTAGAGGCCTTTTACTCTTGTAACATCAAGTCATGAGGATCGATTACTCTACAACCAAACTCCTTGGAAACAACGATTACATGTATCAGTGGGCTAAGGCGTGCTCAGTGACTGAATGGCAAACCCACCTGGCTCAGTGAGGCAGTAGGAAGCAAACTTCTCCATGGTACAGAGCGGTGGGCAAAATTTGTGCCTCTGTTCCTCGTTTCCAAAGGTATCGATCATCCAGACACACATGCTGACAAGTATAGCGAGAAGAAAAGACACTCACAGAGATAAAGAAGGAAAAGGCATTTGAGAGGGGGGAGGGAAAAGGGAACAAAGGCAGGAAAGTAGACAGATGCAGAAGAGAGAGTGAGAAGGGAAAAGTCACAATTGAGAAGATTCAACTTTAAAGGAAAGGCCTGGATTAAAAACATATTTCTAGAATTCATACCGCCCAGAGATAACCAGGGCCAAGGTATTTCTCACTTGGATGTTCATGCTAGTTCTTAGTTAACTGCGCTCCCTAAAATTCAAAGAGCTTTCTGTACTTTCCCAAATTCCTGGAGGTTTCATCTTTGGGCTGAGGAAAAGAGAAACAGGGCCCTGACGACTCTACAGGAGAAGTCTGCTTGGTCCCACTCAGTCTAGGATTTGGGAGAAGGCAGGCAGACCTGACGCTCTGAGCAACATACAAGATGACAGATTCAAATCCAACAGATCTACTGCGCACTTTTAACAGTCTGGTTCTTCAAAGGCAACCGATCTGAAAAGATAAATCTTTTCCTTATTTATCTGAAATTCCGTAGTCAACCCATGTGAGCACTTCACTGTGCTTTTCAAGCCTGGGCACTCACTTGTGGATGCTCACATAGGCTGTGGTGCTGGTGCAGCCTGTAGCCAAGGCTTCAAAGATGACAGAGGCATCGAGCCGTGACAGTCCAGACCCACCCACATCCGTTCGTACGTAGACCCCACCAAAGCCTAGCTGGGCTGCCTTCCGCATCATGTCCACTGGGAACAGTTCCTACGTACAAAAGACAGCAGGGTCATTAGTAAGTTCATTCACAGATAAACTTTTCTTTAGAGGGCACAATGAAGGGTTAAGATGTTTGCTTTTGGGAGTGTAGGGATTCTCTTAAATTAATATGCCTATCTGTCATCTATACAGAGGTATCAGTTAAAATGCATTCTGTAAGAACTGGTTTTCTGGCATTAAAGTTTCTTTTCATTATCAACACAACTGCCTCCGTGTTAGAAGAGGTCCGAATTTTTGTACAACAGAAATAAAACAGAACAGTACAGGTGTCTTCAACATAGGAAAGGAATCACATCGCTACCAGTACTCTGATTCGTAAGTGGAAATAAACACTGAACAATTAGGGTTACAGGGAGATGAAGAAAAGGCATTTGTTGGAACATCTCGCCACGAGGAAAACTCCTACCTTCTCGTCCCACTCTGCCATATGCGGAGCCATCTCCCGGGCTGCAAAGTCAAAAGCCACTTTCTGATATCCTTTCTGTTCTTCATTTAGTCCGATGGAGGCTGTGGGCAAGACTAGATTCAGTTCCAAAGCAGGGGTCCGGGAAGAGTACCGCAAATAAGCACCATGAGGCTGGGACTGTGGCCTTGCTATTGCATTTCCCATATGCAGTACTGCCTTTAGCATCCACAGAATGACATCTCCCACCATTAATCCGTCCCTTTGATATAGTTATCACCTTTCCTTCTTCCTTTACTCCCAAGTGGATCAAATGACCTACCAGCTATTCTTTCAATACTCTATCTCTTCCTCCTCATAAATCCACATTAAAATAATAATAAACACACACTGACCCTCAAATTATGGTAAACATTTTTTTTTCCCTTTAGGATATCCTACCTGTTCTGTGTTAGAGACCTGGGAAAATCTCTATAGCTGTCTATGTGCACCATTTATTTTAAAAGATCAATCGGGAAAGGAAGATACATGTACTTTGGCTTACCTTCCAAATTAAGGAAATGGTCCTATAATAAGGACCATTTGGCAAGTCTCAGACATTCACTGAGAACAATGTTGAAGAAAGTGTTTCAGTGTTGAAAACAGGGTTAAGGCCTTACTAAATCTGTCTTTATTCCATGGACTCAGAATTCCTAGAACATTTTCTATCTTAACAATCAGTGCTGTGATTTTGGAAAATTCCTTCACTTACAGGTCTAAGATACTTAAAAGCTAAGGACAATGAATAATTTGAGCAATACCAACAGGCAGGAAGTACAGCTTCACCGGAAGAGGTTTCTCCACAGCCTTAAACATCTTGTGAAAGACTATGAGTACTTCATCAGAGGTGATACTCTAGAAGGGATCTATATCTATCTACATAGAACAGAGTGACTATCCAGTTCACAATATCATTACTTTACAAATTTTCTTTTTTTTTTAATCCTCCCCCGAGGACATTTTTCCATTTTTTGTTCAGGTAGAGTGGGAGGGAGAGAGAGGAACAGAGAGAGAGAGAGAAACATCGATGTGAAAGGGACACATCGAGTGGCTGCCACCCGCACAACCGACCAGGGCCGGGGACAAACTGCAACCGAGGTACATGCCCTTAGCGGGACCTGAACCCGGGTCTCTCAGGACCACAGGCCGACGCTCTAACCGCTGAGCCAAACCGGCCAGGGCACTTTACAAATTTTCTTTAAGGAATCAGTTCCCCTAGAGACATGAACACCATTTTTCAAATCCTGCACAGAATAAGATAGGACTGAATTGGAAAGCAGAGCTGTAAGTCAACTAGCTAGTAAAGTCTAAAATAGGTTTCCTCCCTGGCCCATCTGGCTCAGCAGTTTGAACATCAGCCCATGGACCAAAGGGTCATGGGTTTGATTCTGATCAAGGGCACATACCTGGGTTGCAGGTTCAATCCCTGACCCTGGTCTGTGTGCAAGCTGGAGGCAACCAATCAATGTGTCTCTCTCACATTGATGTTCCTCCCCCTGCCCGCCTTTCCTCCCTTCCACTCTGTCTAAAAATCAATGCAAAAATATCCCTGGGTGAAGATTAACAAAAAATATATAAATAAATAAAAATATGTTTACTGTTTTGCAAAGTAACACAGACTTCCAGCTCGAGGCAGGTCAGAAGCTAAAAGTAAAGACCTAGGCAAAGCGCCTGTGAAAAACAACCTTGTGGGGTAGGGTAGAGAATTTAGGAGACAGGGCCACAAACCCTGGGAGCCAGCACACCACAGTAGGGTCAGCAACGTGCACAGGGTGAATCAGACTTACATTGTTCACACTGATTTCTCTTCGGTTGTTTCTTAGCACTGTAGGGATGGGGGTTGGTAGATGAGAGATTTGTAACCTTGTAATATGCACTCTTGAAACCTGGCCAGCCTAGGATCAAAGTGTGTGGACAGACAAGTTTGACTGAAAGGTTCTAAATGCTTTGTTTACACATGAATAAGATAAGGTTTGCATGACAAAGTGTTGGAAGACTATAGCCGCTAATGGGCCACACCCAATAGTGTCTGGGTTTGTTATTTTTTAGCTTTGAAGTAAAAAAAAAAAAGCGAGAGACAAGGCTAGGCTGTATGATTTGTAGAGACACCATCTTAAGGAATAATTTCCATAAATCCACATGTAACTTGGGGAACCAATCTGCAAATAAATTGGGCTGCATCCAGAGATCTGAAGCATCTGTTCCCTTGCTATGCTCCCCTCACTCCTACCAGCATGTGCTTGTAGTTCACTGTGCTGCGCTGACCCCAGGCAGGCCAAGAGTAGTGCCATTTTCATAAGACCACCTGCCTGGGCTGTGCTAAGGAAAAACAGGAGTGCAGGCCTATCCTGGGGGGCACAGTGAGCCCTGGGGCACCATGTGGCTGTGAAAAGGAAAGGGGAAAGAGAAAATGCAGGGCTCTGTATTCCCATCCCAGGTTTCATCCTGCAGTGCTAAAAACCTGGTCATTCTGGGGTGATGCTAAGGAGCACTCAAGAAAAACTAAGGAGTCACACTAAAAAAAAAAAAAATTGATTTCAATGCCTGATACCAATACACAGCCCTTTCAGGAGAGCATGTTCAGGTGGCAGAGTTTCTGTAGGGCAGAGCTGGGCACCTCCTCTGCCAGGCAGGAGGAAGCAGTCCGTCTATATCAGTACTCTCATTAAAATGGGAAACTCAGAAATGAATTGTCGTGAGGATTAAAGATTAGGCGACCTTGAGAAGCCCAGAGCAGGAACCAATGTTAGGTGTTACCCTCAGGAATATCATTTAGGGATAAGCAAGTCATGATTCCCCTACTGGGAATCAGCTCACTTATTTGCACAATGCTGAAATGCCCTGTACTGCAACTCACAGCTCAAAAACCATTCACAAGAGTATTTATTGACTGTCTCCTGTGGAGCGGTGCTGGGATTACTGCTCCACAGGTAAGATGAATATGGTCAATTCACACAAAGGATGACATAAACGGTAATAGTGCAAACATCTTACTGTGCAAAGAGAAGTGCTTCAGAATTTCAATCCCAGCAAGAGCGCAACAAGTGTTCGCACACAGTTATTATTATTTGACAGTGTAAAACAAGTAGTTCAAGGAAAAAAAAAGATTTAAATGGCATGTTAAGTGAATAACAGGGAATATATATATGCAAATCATATGTATAAGTAAATACAACATAATTACATTTTTTAAGATAACAAATAGTCCATTTTAGCTAAAGGGATGCTAACAGAAGGAGAGCATTACTTGGAGGAAAAAAAAGTGGGAGAGGCAAGTTAAAAAGCAAATTATACACATGAAAGCATGGTTACTAAGTAAAAATGCCTAAGTTCCCAGAAAACATACACTATAAAGCAAAGCAAAACAAAACCCTCATGAAATTTGCTGGAGCTACTGGTAGAGTTCAAGAAGCCCCCGCCCCCTCCCGCCCCCCCCCCCCCACACACACAAATGGTAAAGCTAAGTGGAAAACTGGTCCAAACGAGATAGAAAAGCCTTCACTGTACAAGCAACTCAAGTATAAGCAAGAGGTGAAAACACACAAAGAAAAACTCCAAATGATACAGAATCTTTAAATGCATCCAAAGTACAGAGTCAGTATTCTCTGAGAATCTTGGTATTCCAGGAGTGCTTGGGAAGTCGCAGCCAACTTCAGTGAAAGAGCCACAGGACAAGGAATTAGTCATTTGAGCTCTGATTCTGAAATTATAAATTGTACAACTTTCAAAAAATAAAAAAAAATTATGCAACTCAGTAAGTCAGATATGTTTATGAACCTCAGCTGTCACATTGTAAAATGAGGGGGCTCTGCTAGAGAGTGAATACATTTCCTCATTTGTAAAGTGATAATAATACCTGTAAAATGAGGACACTATATATAAATACGTAATATATGTTAAAATATAATAAAAAGCACAACTTCTTAAAAATTTTTCACATTGACATATGCAATGAAACAATGAGACCTATTTGTTGGTAACTTCCATTAATGTGCTATTTTAACATGTAGGACGAGATATTGAAAGGACTTCCTTCCATTTTACTATTTAAAAGATAATTTCCTTGAAAATCATGAAAAAGTACCTCATTGGCTGAAGTTACATCACAAGATGCTGGAAATACTCACATTTAACCTATACGCTGACGTAACAACTCCCTGTCTGCTTTGGTAAGGGTGACCCGGCCCTGTGTACCGAATTCCAAGTGCTAGAACACAGCAGCACCAGTGAAGGTGTTTCAGGACACTGAGAATTAAACAGTACTCTATATCTTAGTGTACTTTCCAGATCTAAGGGTCAATCTAAGGGATTCACAGACTATCCTACTGTAAAGAAAAGTATCATTTATTTAAAATTTTAAAATATATACTTGAGAAGAAAAATGTGGTTAGGTGCTTGACAGAAGCACAAAGTGGCTGGGTAGCTCCTAGTCAGCTTAGGCCCTCACCTCTCCATTACTCACATCTAAATTACCTGCCTGGTCCCTGAAGACATTCAGGTCTGTAAACTCTGGTAGTTTACCACTTGCAACATTTCCTTTTCCTTTAGGAATTTCAACAGTAAAAGTGATTTATAGGTAAAGGTGTAAAGTTAAAAAATCTAAATACGTGAGCAAATCTTGTATTACCTGGAGCTTTTGTTCATCTAGCACCACTAGCACCATGGTTTTTATATTTTTTACTGCCTTTATGACCTATTGTTATGATTAAAAAAAAATCAAAAAACAAAGCCTCGAGTTTCTGCACCTCTCTTAAGCATCCACTCCTTCTCTAAAAGCAGGGATAATAACACTATACCTCAGAGTTGTGAGAGTAAATGCAAAACCCTTGGTTATTGTACTTATTGCATAAGTAAAATTATGAAACATGTCAAGACTAAGCTTAAGGAAGATCTGAACAATTAACAGGATTAGCAACAGGACTAAGCTGTATTAGCTGCAAAGTAGCTTCATATCTCTACTTATCTTAGGAAGGTACTGTTTCAGACAAGCATTTCCAAGCTCCTCTACACCAGCGATTTTCAACCCTTTTCATCTCACAGCACACAAACTAATCACTAAAATTCTGTGGCACACACAAAAAAGATGTAATTTTGATTCATTCACACCAGATGACTATTGTGTTGGCTGCTGTCACTTTTATTTTTTAATTTTTTTAATCCTCACCATGTTGTAGCTCACTGTCCTTAGAATCCAACTTGTCTTTGAGCTGCCCTAATTAACAACCTCAGGGACAGCAAGATGAACAACGGGGAATGTTATAGATGGCTTTAGCCCCATAAAAATTAAGCAGAGTTTGACCTTCACTGGGAATTTGAAAAGCAACATCCTTCAAGAAAAGGGAGGACAGAAACGGCCCCAAGGCCAGAGTGTCCCGCATGCTCTGTAAAGAAACTGATAGGGAGAAACTGAAGCTCCCTTTACCCCATAAAACTGTAACTGTTCAACATGTGTGTATTGCACCTGACTGACCGCTGATATCCGTCTCGAATTTGTTAGTTTTTAAAACTTGGATAATGGGCCCTGGCCAGTTTGGCTCAGCGGTTAGAGCGTCGGCCTGCGGTCCGGAGAGACCCGGGTTCGGTTCCCGCTAAGGGCACGTACCTCGGTTGCAGTTTGTCCCCGGCCCTGGTTGGTCGTGCGGGTGGCAGCCACTCGATGTGTCCCTTCACATCGATGTTTCTCTCTCTCTCTCCCTCCCTTCCTCTCTCTCCCTCCCACTCTACCTGAACAAAGAATGGAAAAATGTCCTCGGGTGAGGATAAAAAAAAAAAAAAAGAAAACTTGGATAATGGAATGAATAGCAGAATAATGTGTGCTGACCCAGTTCACCCAGTTCCCTTTCGCCTCAGCTCCCTCCCACCTCCGTTCCCTCCTGCTTATCACTAACTGCCTCTGCTTCTGTACAAGCAGCTTGCTTGCTCTGCTAAACTCTTGAATGACCCCTGCCCTATATAAGCAACCCTCCCCCTGAGCTCGGGGCTGCAGTTCTCCTCTGTGTAGGTTGGCTGCAGTCCCTGCGCAGGTAATAAAACATCCCCAACAACTGAAAAATGGAGTCTGAGTGTGGTCGATCTCCTGGGTTACAACAACTAGAGGATATATTTTTTATTTATCTTCAGATTGAGTGCAAGGGAGAGAGAAATATCGATGTGAGAGACACACATAGACTGGCTGCCTTCCCCAGGATGCCAACCAGGACCGGGAACCAAACCAGAACCGAGCTACTACCCTTGAACAGAATCCAACCCTAGACTCTTTGGTCTGCAGGCAGACACTCTAACCGCTGGGCCAAACCCAAAGGGCTGCTGTAACTTTTTTATTTGACAACCTAAGAGAAAGGGGTCAGTGTCCCAGACTAAGTAGTCAGGTATTGCATGTTTTAAAAATTCCTGCAGCACACCCGTTGAAAATCGCTGCTCTACACCTGTGCGGTGGGCGGGAGAAAGGACAGGGCTCCAGAACCAGTGAGGCCTGACCACACGTCTCAGAAACCTGGCTGGGTCACCACCCTTTGCAGGGTGGGGGTGGGGGCGTAGCAGAGGAGGCCCAAGGGCGCAACAGGCGGACTGAGGTCAGAGACAGCGAGGTCTGGCCGAGCCCACCCAGGTAGGTTAAGGTAGGATAGAGTAGGTTAGGGTGACCGCTCGTGGGTGATGGGCGGGAGGCGGGGAGCCGGACCAGAAGTGACCGCGGTGCCGACCTCCCCGGGGTAACAGCGCGCCCCGTGGGCGCGGAGACCACAGCCCCAGTCCGGTCCCGAACACCTGTACCCCGGGGAGAGCCTTACGATCAATGCAGGAGACCAAGCTCCGGTGGCCGCTTCCGGCGGGGGCCCGGATGCCGCCGCCAGGGCAGCGGAGCCGCGCTCCGAGACGCAGGCAGCTGCTTCGCAGCATAGCGCCCTTTCCTGCTGCAGCCGGGGCCTGACAACCCGTGACCCGAGCGCTGGTCTCACTGCCCAACCCAGCGCCCGGCCCCTGCCCCGCCCCGCGCGCTGGGAGCCGTGGAGCACTCTGGGAGCTGTAGTGCTCGGGGGACCCTCATCCGGGTCCAGACTCAGGAGGGTCTGCGCCAGGGCGGGAACTACAACTCCCAGAGATCCCCGTGGCCTGGGGGCCGGAGAGGCGCGCGTTGACCGCGCCTGCGGGAAGGGGCTGGAGTCGGGTCTGCGGAGTGGTGGGGCAGGCTTCTGAGAGCGTGGAGAGGAGCAGGTTATGCGAGATGGAAACTGGGGGTACAGCTAATCGGAGGAAGGATCTGAGGGGTTGAAACCAGTTAGCTGTGTTCTACTTAAAAGAGCCTCGGGGCTGAAACCCTGTGAAGTTTCCTTTCATTGTCTCCATCTTGCTCTGGGCACGTTCCCGGGGCAGATGCAGAGTTGCCTCTTCTGTCTCGGTAGATTTCACAATCTTCTGCCCTGCAGCGGGTACAGGGAGACCATGCCGAGATCCAGGAAGAGGCTGGCTGGGCCTGCTGGGCAAGGTGAGCTCCCACCCCGGCTGCAAAAAGGCAACCTCACAGAGAAGTTCCTCCAGGCCCTGGAGCAGCGGTTCTCAACCTGTGGGTCACAACCCTTTTGGGGGTCCAACGACCCTTTTACAAGGGTTGTCTAAGACATAATGGCAACAAAATTATAGTTATGAAGTAGCAACGAAAATAATTTTATGGTCGGGGGTCGTGACAACACGAGGAACTGTATTAAACGGTTGCAGCATTAGGAAGGTTGAGAACCACTGCCCTAGAGCCTAGGGTGTTTAGTATTGTTCCCTTTCCACTCCCTGCTTGTGGGGAGAATCCTTTGTGGTTTGGGTTTTGTTATCTCTAATTGCCCTCCACCTTCTCCTTTACTCCCTGCCAAGCTTGTACCCAGAGCCCCTTCTGCTTATTTGTTCATTCAAGCAATAGCTCTTCGGTAAGCACAAAAAATATTTATCATACAGAGTGGCATGTACTAAGGTAAAGAATATAGTTCCTGCCCTGGCCAGTTTGGCTCAGCAGTTAGAGTGTAGGCTCGCTGACCAGGGAGTCGCAGGTTCGATTCCAGTCAAGGGCAAGAACCTCGGTTGGGGTTGGTTGCTGGCCCTGGTCTGGTGGTGTGGGAGGCAACCAGTTGATGCATCAATGTTTCTCTTCCTCCTTCCCTTCCTCTTTGATGATAAATGTAAAAATATCCTCAGGTGAGGATTACAAAAAAAAAAAAAACAGAATGTATTTCCTGCGCTGGGCAGTATGGCTCAATTGGTTGGCGCGTTGCCCTGTGCACAGAAATTGAAAGGGTTAGTAACGTTTTATTTATTTTTTTATCCTCACCTGAGGACATTTTTCGATATTTTGTTTAGACAGAGTGGGAGGGAGAGAGAAACAACCCAACCAGGGCCGGGGACAAACTGCAACCGAGGTATGAGCCCTTAGTGGGAACCAAACCCGGGTCTCTCTGGACTGCAGGCCGACGCTCTAATCACTGAGCCAAACCGTCCAGGGTGGGTTAGTAACGTTTTAAAGGGTAAAGGTAAAAGCTTGCAAAAGGTGGAAACTGAAAAATGCATTGCTTGAATGACCTTTGCTCAGCCTTCTGTTGAATATGGATTATCCAGATTATCCTCAAAACAGTGAACCTACTCCCTCTTTCCATGCAGGATGAGATACCAGACCAGTCCAACTGCAAAGTGGACAATGGGTCATGCAGAGTACATCAGCAGGAATTGTCAGAAGCTAGAAGCAGAGTGTATAATCTACACCCCAACTGTTACTCGAGGCTGACTCCTTTTCTCGGTCTCAGCCTACCTGCACCCAGGTTATAAAGCCCTTTTGCTGTACATTGGCCCTGAGTTGTGGATGTGATCTCCTGCTGGCTCGGACCTTTTAGAAGTGTCCCGGGTTTCTGATCAAGGCACATAATCAGGTTGCGGGGTGAGGGCTGTGTTCGATTCCCAGTCGAGCATGGGGTGTGTGCAGGAGGCAGCCATCAAAGTATCTCTCCTCCCTTCCTCTCTCTAAAAATCAATGAAAACATTGCTCGAGTGAGGGCTTAAAAAAGAAAAAGAATATAGTTCCTGCTCTCAGGGTGAATGCAGACAAGTAAAAGGGTCCAGGAAACTGGATTGCTAGGTGTGAAAGAGCAGGGAGAAATTACCAGGAAGTCCTTGAGAAGGAAGTGGAATTTGAGTGTAGCCTTAAGAATGGGAAGGCTTTCCACAGGCAAAGAAAACCAGATGTCACTTTTATATTCACAAGGATAAATGGCATTCTGATGGGATGAATAGCAAGAACAAAGCATTTCAAGGTAGAGAAAGTACCTCCTGGGAATGGCAAGGGTTCCAGATGGACTACAATGCAGCGTTATTTAACAACATGTATGGTGTTTAGTGTGCCTGTTAACTCCAAAGGGACCACTAGGGACCAGGTTAGGAATGTTCAGAGTGTTAGACATCCATAAGTGATATTTAATGAGGACTGACATAAGAGTTGACTTAATTCAGAGGCTGTGCTGTGTAGTCATTAAGTGTGGATTCAGGTGGACCAGAGAGACAGGTCCTGATTCTACTATTTACTAGTTGTGTAATCTGGGATACATTTTCCAGATGAATAAAACAGACCATATGTATTAACTGAATTACAGTTAGGGTAACAGGGTTTAGGGTTTGTCACATGATAAGAATTTAATAACTGTTAGCTATTGAGTGCCTACTGTGTTCCAGGCACATTTTCTCTAATTCTCTTAGGATAAAATCCTGTATTTATCATGTCTACAAAGTCCTGAATGAGTTGTTTTATCCAACTTCTTGACACCATTACGGAGCAGAAAAGAGGCAGGCCACAAAATTACAGTGACCAAGAAGAAGAATGAGATGATGAAGATGATAATAGTCAATATAATACCACTGTTTCTATTCTTTAATTTTCAAAACAAGTCCAGGGAGTAGGGGCTCACTCTCCTCATTGGAGAGGATAGCCTCAGCAAAGACCCAGAAGTGAGGGAAGGAAAAACACTGACAACTGAGTGTATGCCCAGGGACTCTGCTAGGACCTTTAATTTTAAACCATGACCATCTAAAGTGTTCTTATCCCATTGAATGGATATTCCAGATATATCCTATAAGGTAGGGATTCTTGTTCCTTTTTTATTTATTTTTTAATCTTCACCCGAGGATATTTTTTACATTCATCCTCAGACAGAGTGTGAGGGGGAGAGAGAAAGAAACATCCATGTGAGAGACACATTGATTGGTTGCCACCGCATGACTCCAACTGGGGCTGGGGATGAACCGCAACCGAGGTACGTGTCCTTGGCATGGAATCACACCCAGGACTCTGGCTGACACTCTAACCGCTGAGCCAAACTGGCTAGGGCACCTGTTCCATTTTTATAGATAAATACTTAAGCAGTTAGGCTGCCACTGCTGGTAACTGACAGATCCAGGATTTGAATTCAGTCTGACTCCAAAGCATATGCTTTTCCCACAGCAGAACATTACCTGTCAGCAAGCATGACAGCTCTCTTCATCTTGCTTCTCCTATTGCAGACAAGAAGGGACCAGCAGGAAAGCGTATGAAGACTAAGAACCCAGGTGAGGCATCAACTAGAGTGGAGAATTCCAGCCCTCAGAAGACTTCAGCCCTTAAAGAATGTGAGAAGAATCTAAGCAGGTACTGGCTGATGAAGTCAGAGCCAGAAAGCCGACTAGAGAAAGGTGTAGATGTGAAGGTGAGACCATTAACTGTCTCCAATCCCTCCAAACTGTTTTTTTTTTTAATATGTTTTCATTGATTTTTTACAGAGGAAGGGAGAGATAGAAACATCTATGTGGGAGAGAAACATCAATTGGCTGCCTCCTGCACGCCTCCTACTGGGGATCGAGCCTGCAACCCTTGCATGTGCCTTGACTGGGAATCGAACCAGGACTTTTCAGTTCCTGGGGTGGTGCTCAATCCACTGAGCCACACCGGCCAGGCTGTTTTTTGTTTTTTTAAATAAGAAATGAACATGGGCCCTGACTGGTTTGGCTCAATGGTTATAGTGTCGGCCTGGGGACCAAAGAGTCTCGGGTTCGATCCCTGGCCCTGGTCAGGCTTATGTGGGAGGCAACCAATCAATGTGTGACACATCGTTGTTTGTTTCTCTCTCTCTCTCTTTTCTTCCTCCTCCCTCCTTCCCACTCTCTCTGAAAACCAATGGGAAATATCCTCAAGTGAGGATTAACAACAAGAACAAAAAGGAATATGGGATACCACATTATCTTTAAAGAGTAAGGAAAAGGTAATAAGGAATAAAATCAGCAGGACTCATTACCATCAACTATCTTTTTTGTGAATCCTCTATCTAGGGAAGGGGTGGCAAACTTTCTGTAAAGGGCCAGGCAGTTAATATTTTAGGTTCTCTGGTCTTGTAGTTGCTGTTGCAAGAAGGTGATCATAGACAGAAAGGTAAACAAATGGTGTGGCTGTGTTACAGTAAAAACGATTTACACAATCCGGCCTTGGGGCTGTACTAGGTCTGAAGGCTCTATGCCAACCCCTAATCTAGACACTGTAGCCTTAGGTTGCCTTTCCCTTGCCACCTGTCATGCTCCTAGTTATCTCACTGATTCAAGGAATTAATCTCAACCAATCTTAATAGTAGCCCAGAGAAAATATAATTAGAACTACTATAGAATAGATAATATTTTAGTAAGTGAAATACAGATATCCAGCAAATTACTTTATGCTCTAGATTATCCATTCAACTAATCCTCTTAATTAGCAAGGTTAAGGTAACACAAAGCTTATATTTACCCAATGTAAGTGCCTCTGTAAAGCTATTTTCTGGTAAACTGCACACTTCCACCATAGCTAGAAGCATTCTCAATGTATGGGAGGGAGTAGTCAGCTTTCATATATTCTTACCAGTGGGCCCATGATTATTAAATCAATGGCTTTACTTCCTGTTGCCTAGTTCAGCATTGAGGATCTCAAAGCACAGCCCAAGCAGACAGCATGCTGGGATGGTGTTCGCAATTACCAGGTAAGAGCAGGACCTTGAGACCCAGAGTGGGATAAATGCCTGCTTCTTTCTTGTAACTTATTCAGTAGCAAAATCTCTTGGCCAGGGTTGCTTTTTCCCAGAACCCAGTTCTAAAAATGTACTCAAAAATACCTTAATTACTTTGATTGCATGCCGTTTACAAATGGTGTATGTTTTAGCCAGTGTCCTGCTATAAGTCTGGGTATCTTGGTAAAGGCAAGAAGTAAATTGGGGGAGGAACTGGCCAGGTGGCTCAGTTGGTTGAAGCATTGCCCCATACACCCAAAGATTGCAGGTTCGATTCCTGGTCAGGGCACATACCTAGGTTGTGGGTTTGATCACCACTCAGGGTGTGTATGGGAGGCAACCATTTATGTTTCTCTCACATTGATGTTTCTTTTTCTCTCCCCTTCCTCTCTTTAAATATACCCTCTGGAGAGGATTTAAAAAATTGAATTAGGGGAAACTGCAATAAAGGAAAGCTCATCTAATAAAAGCAGACTTGGTTTCTGCTAACACTAGTCTTTTCCAGCCGGTGGGAGGACAGTTCTTATTTCTTCTCTCCTGGGACAGGCCCGGAACTTCCTTAGAGCCATGAAACTGGAGGAGGAAGCGTTCTTCTACCATAGTAACTGCAAAGAGCCAGGCATCGCAGGACTCGTGAAGGTTAGTTGCACCGGCTTTGGTCTGACTCCCTCCCTTCAGGAGCATTGACTGATGCGGAAGGAACAGTTTAAATAAGTAACACAAAAAACAGTGCTGCCTTCCTCCCATCCCTGATCTCACCGGGATATGGAACAACTGCCCTGGCCCCATCCTGTGTGATAAAGACTATAATAATACAGGCCTTCACTTCGGGTCCCAGTGGCACAGAACACTTCTCTCCATTTCTGTACTGTGGTCTTTCACTCAGTAACTGGCCTGATGGGCAGCTCTTCTGAGCCTGGAGTTATCAGGATAAAATTCTTAACCACAGGTGAAAAAACAGTGCCACCAATAATAACCTTTAATACTTGGTTTTAGAACTTATTTTTAAGATTCTTGTCAAAATGGGGTTGATTTCCTGCCCTGGCTGGTTTGGCTCAGCGGTTAGAGCGTGGACATGTGGACCAGAGTCTTGAGTTCAGTTCCCCCTAAGGGCATGTACCTTGGCTGCAGTTTGTCTCCTGCCCTGGTTGGGGTTGCGTGGGTGACAACCAGTTGATGTGTCTGTCACGTTGATGTTTCTCTCTCCCTCTAGCTCTATCTGAAGATAAATGCAAAAATGTCCTCGGGTGAGGATAAAAAAAAAAATGGGGTTGATTTCCTCTTTGCCTTAGAATGTGTATTGTTTCCAGATAATCAGCCCCCACTGGCTATACAGTAAGGCAGATGGGGCAAGAATGTGCAGGGCAGAGATGAAAGGTGGACTCGGATTAAAGATTTGCCACGGAGCCGACTATACAGGCGAGTGATTGGAGACTTGTTTGATTTCAGATTGTGAAGGAGGCTTACCCAGACCACACGCAGTTTGAGAAAAGCAATCCCTATTACGATCCATCCAGCAAAAGAGACAACCCCAAGTGGTCCATGGTAAAGACTACTATTTTTTCCTTTTTCATGAGGGGACAAAGAGGGAAGAAGGTTGGGGGTGTGTTTCTATCAAGGTACAGAGCTCTGATTTAGATGGGGTTACCCTAACTTTAGAGAGAACAGAACACTGGCTGTCCTCATAGGAACCTCCTGCAAGCAGCTAAAACACACAGCGGACCGAGTCCAGCTGGACATGTCTTTCTGCCCCATACACTGTTGTCATGTAGGTGGATGTACAGTTTGTTCGGATGATGAAGCGTTTCATTCCCCTGGCTGAGCTCAAAACCCATCACCAAGCTCACAAAGCCACTGGTGGGCCTTTAAAGAATATGGCGCTCTTCACTCTTCAGAGACTCTCAGTTCAGCCCCTGACCCAAGGTAAGAGCGGGCCTCTCCTTCGTGACCCACACAACAGAATGACACCAGCAGTTCACGTTTACTAAGTGATCAAGCTTGGGCACAGTATCTCACCCGAGTCTGTCTCCTCACCTGTAACACCCCTGCAGGAGGAACCATGTCCTGAGTCACCCATTACTGTGCACCCAGTATCCAACAGTGCTGGGCACACAGTGAAACACTCCATAAGCAGTTCTGGGATGAACGACTCCCTGTTTCAGCAACAATGAGCAATGCCTAGCATAACTTCCCTGTTCAAGAGGGTATGAAGACCTAATTCTTCCTTTCTTTTTCTCCTTTTTGGTAGAGGAGTTTGATTTTATTTTGAGCCTGGAGGAAAAGGAATCAAGTTAACTGAAATACTTGCTGGAATGGGCAGGACATTACACCAAAGAAATGAAGCTTGTATAAGACAACAGGTGTGAGGAGGCTTGCTTGTTATGTCCATCCGAGGTTGTGTACATAGGTGTGCTTTGTGTACTTTTCTTAATAAAACGCGAATATAAAATTGGAAAGCTCTTCTTTTACAACAGCATTGGGTATAGGATACTAGTTCCCTGCGGGGCTTTTACCTCCGGCCTGGCTCCCTTTACCACGTGGCAAGATGCAAGGCTACCTCTATCATCTTCCTTCACTACAGCAGACACCAGGGTGCAGGGCTGTCTGTTAACTCCCACTGAAGTGAACTTTTGCCTTTTTACACTAGCCTTTCTCACCAACCCTGGAGTCATGGCCACACAGGGGTGAAAGCCATCAGCAGTGTCAGGCCAAGTTGCTAGGTAGAGGTAAAGCTGGGATTCCTGTCTCAGTCATGTGCTCATCTGAGGCAGGTACTAATAAAGCGCCATCATTGTTCACGAGGGGCCACAAGCACAGAGCGGGCGGGCATCTTACTGGCTCAGGGTGGAATCTGTCTTCCCTGGTGTGTGAGGTGAGGCAGTGAAAGGCGGGAGACCACAGAACCTGGTGGGCCATGGGCACGATGCCTCCAAGCCACAGGGGCTTCCTTTAATCAAGAGACAATTGAGACAAGCGTTCTTTTTTTTTTTTAAATACAGCCATTGAAAAGACGATACATTAAGAAACATGTAAACACTGCAGCTGCTTAATTACAAGTTGCACTGCTTAGTTTAGTACCTCTACACTCCCAGGGTGTGGGGACCTTTAACAGAAGGGGATAGGAGCCTCCCCTCACTTCCACAGTTGGGCAAATAAGTGGAGAATGAGGGCAGAGTAAGAGAAAAACATAAGATGTAGCTTGTGTACAGCTCCTGAGAGGATAAATAAATTCTATCTTCTAGTTTTCCCAGAAGAAAGGTTTAAGATGTTAGGAAAGTTGGAAAACATGTTTGCTGGGAGGCAGAGGAATCGACAGATGGTTCCTGGTGAGAACACCGTCCACTGTGGGAGGCACACTGGAGCCTAATCTCATGCTCTGCAAAAGGCAAGGAGCACAGAACCTGCCTCTCCGTACAGTTAAGATCCAACCTTGAAAACCCAGAGACAGCTGGATGGTGATCTGTTCCCATGAGGATTGTCCATTGTACCTGAACTTGGGGGGGCCAAGCATGGGGGAAGCCACCATACATACCTTCCTGGATGCTGCCGCCCCCTGTCAATCTCAGCTGTTACCCCACATGCCTTTCCCTCAGTCTCAGTCCGGATCCATGTGCCCTGCCCAGTCAAGCCCATGATGTGAACAGGAGGAAGAGCTGTCCCTATTGTCCACACTAACTGGAAGACGACCCAGGAACCAGCCCCTCCCTCCAGATTACAGAGAATTCACACCGCCAAATACTGTCCTTACTGGCCAGTGGGGTCCGCTCATCTTCCAAGGGAAGGGAGGCCAGTTGGAGAGCAGTTCCTGGTCACTTCCAGAGGAGGCAGGAAGGATGTCAACATTTTTACTACAAGAGGCCCAACTGCAGTGCAACAGAGGGACATCCCTCTCCTCTAGTGTAAAGAACATCCACACGAGTTTCTGCAACGTGTTTTTAAACAAAAACGGCAATGGTCCTAACTCGTCAGTCAGCTAGTGAAGATGAGGACGTGATTTGGCAAGCAGAGTTATTCTGAAGTTGTGCAGCAGTCTTCTGCTGAGGTCCTCGTCGCCCTCCTCGAATGCTTAGGTGTAGGTAGGCAGTGAACGGGCTTGGGCAGCAATAAGAACAAAATTTCCGAGTGTTTAAAGCCCAGTCCCAATTCTCAGAAACTAAATGGGGAGCAAGGAGTGATGAGGATCCACTCTTAGGGAAACGAGATCAAGGCCCCTTCCTGGGATCTGTTCCTAAAGGAGACATGCCCTTATTTAGGCTTGCTGGGGCACACAGAACAGTACCCTGAAACCACAAGCCCTCAGGGCTGGCGAGGGGTCACGTGGTGAAGGCAGACAGTGACCAAGCACAGTTACACTTCTTCCGCAGTGGGCTGGCTCGGCCCCGTGTTGGTCACTGCTGCCATCCACACATGACACTGACCTCGGTGTCTGTGCCAGAATTTCTCGGGTGAGAGGACAGGCAGCCAAAGGCCCTTCCACAGGCTTGTTCCAGGACGTTACTGACAAGAATCCATAGAAGATGGAGGAAGGAGGTGCCTGGGTCCCAGCAGGGAGGGGAAGGCCAGAAAGGAGGTGGCTTGTAGAAACTTCAAAGCACCACATCCAAGACTCCCAAGGAGGTAGCTTCCTAATCTCGAGTCTCCCCCTGGCCACTTAGGATGGGGCAGGCCCAACTCCTGCTGCTGCCTGAGGGACACAGGGGAGGACAAGATGTGACTGCCCGGGTCCCTTCTGGCAGCTCAGAACCCCAGGGACATGGTCAGATCCTGCATCAGGAAGCCCGAGGGCTGGAGCCGAGGATCCGGCATCTGCTCTCTACGGAGTGAGGCAGCCCCGGGAGAGGCCTCGACAGGGCTCGTCCCCAGGGAGACAGTAGCTTCCAGGACCCACCTCTCAGCTGACGTGACTCCCGCATCAGCTGCAGATCCCCAAGGAGACTGCCTCCCGGCCCAAGCCCCCTAGGTTCTTCAGAAAAAAAGAATTTAAGTCACAAACATGATTTGTTTTCAGGTTGCAAGTAACGGGACAGCTGAGCATCACACCGTCCTCCCCTTCCCCCAGCCGCTGGTGTTTGGTAGATGGGGGTGCTGGGTGGGAGCCCACCAGCTTCTTGGCCCTGGGGGCCTACTGCCTGCAGTTGTTGTCAGACAGCTGGCTGGGGGTCCGCACCTCACCCAAGGAGGTGGTGCCCTCGAAGCGCTGTGAGGCGATGGCCGCCTGGTGGGACATGCTCTTCCGTACAATGTCACCCTTCCGCCACAACACCACTTCCTGCAAAATTGGGAGAGGGCAACATTATGCCATGAGAGGAAGGTAATGGGATGGGTTTTCCAGAGGGTCTAACTTTCTCCTGGGGATCTTAGACAAAATCCTCTGCTTCTCTCTCGGCAAAGACAGCCGCTGTCCATACCTCCGTACCGCAGGGCTCTTCTGGATGTTTTGGGCTGGACGGGCAGAGTGGCTGCTGGGGTTGGGCCTGAGGAAGCAGACTCTAGGTATCCAGTGGGAACCCTCCCTCTTGCGGTGGGACTCTAGGTCATGCACGCTTCCACCTCTTGGCACACTAACCAGGGGCATGGGCACTAGTACCGTGCTGATTAACCTATTGCAAATGGAGCCTGATCTTTGCAGGAATGATGCCCTTCCTGTTCTGTCACTAGGGCTACCAGGGGTCTGGAGGAGGTGCCCAGGCTTCACCTGCTGTTTGAAGTAGCGTCGTTCTTCCTCGTCTATCAGCACCAGGTTGAGATAATAGCGCACAGAGAACTTCTTGTTGATGTCCCGCATGGTGGGGGTGAGCTCGTAGCCTGCCAGGAAGAGCCGGATTGGGATAGACTCTCCTGTAAGGGCCAGGCAGGAATCAGAGTGAGGGACAAAGTTGCTGCTCTACCTTATGCCAGCTCACTCTGACCAGAGCAGGCAGATGCCATCTGAGCATGGCATGGAACTCTTAGGACAACGCTTCCGCCTTCTGGGAAGTTGCATTCTGCTGCCCAGTGTTTGCTGAAGCAAAAATGTGACTCAGCAATTAAATTCCAGGTCCAGCTGTGTCTTCTGAACATCCTCACTGTCCCCACACAGAGACCAGTGAGTGGCAGTGAGGATTGACAGCAGAGGGACATCACGGTCAAACATCTTTTGATCACATGTAATGTGTCTACTTGTTGGGTTTTCAAGAGCCAACTGTCAAACCCCAGCAAACTCATCATGTCACCCAGCAATTTCGATGCCCCCCAAAATACACCTCTCCTCTAAGATGGGTGGGCAGAATGGTGTAGTGGTCTGGGAAGCAGAACATCCTCATTCTCGTTTCAGTTCTCCATTAATCAGTAAGCCTGTTGTTTCCCTTGGACCTTAATTTTCTCATGTGGAAAATTACGGAAACAGACTACATAATATTTTAACTCCCCTCCAGCTCTAACATCGTGCTTTTCCCAGTATAAGTGGAACAAAATTAGGGCAGTAATTCTACTGAGAAAGGCCAAACCTATAATGCAGTCTCAAGCTAAATATAAACGATCTTTTAATTATCTGCTGTTTTGTAGTGTTTCTCGGTGCCCCGTCTCACTTGCAGGGGAAAGGACAGCCGGCTCTGCTCGCACAGCTGGTGGGAGTGGAGCAGTCTGGGGGGCTCAGTCCTGTCCCCCCAAGGTCATGGACAGTGATACTCGAGGATGTGCTGTCGCTGTCCTCAGTGTTCTGGGCCGCTCAATCCCTCACACCCCTCCTGCATGGAACAGACTGGGCGTGTACACGGAATAGAATCTTGGCATCACCAAACACTCGTACATGAAAGAATTGCATTCTTCATGTCCGCTGCAGAGGAGCCAAAGAAGAACCTAAGTGATGGCTCCTCCCAAATCATCACACAGATTCCCCAAACAACAGCTCTCAACTCCACCCATCCCAGAAGTAACGTTAGCTCCGTGGCAGGTGGGGAGAGGGCCAGCTGCAGTCCAGTCCCAGTGCTGTCAGTGGCCCCTGGTAGTGCTGGCCAGAATGTTTACACAGTCGGCCCTCGTTGATCTCAGTTAATCAGGTCCAGACTCTACCGTGATAAGTGAATTTCCACAAAGTAGGATTCTGTCTTTATACACAGTCGTCCCTCGCCACTTCCCGCTTCGACTGTCGCGGTTTTTTCAACTACTTTCGCGATAGAAGCCGCAAAGAATACGTGGTGAATGGACGTAGAGAATGAATCATTTCACCAGAGCCAGAATTAAGCTAACAAAAATGACTATTCTGTGTTCATCTCTTGCTCCTTAACAGCAAAGAATGTCAGAATGTCAACAGGCAAAAGTAAGCAAATGTTCAAACTGTGTCTGTTAAACCAGTTTGCAAACTTTTTTGGTAACAGGCCTAACTTGAGACTCAGTCTCCAGTACAAGCTCACAACATAGACGAGGTTGCAGGGGAGCTCTTCCGGTGAAGGTGGGGCAGGAGTCCGGAGTTTCAGACTCGCCCTCCTTGTCCTGCTTACTGAGACCCAAAGTGTGCAATTAGAGTAAGAAATTATAGGTTAACAGAAATCTTACTTTAACAGTATAATCCCTCATGCCCCTCCAGGATTCTGTGCAGGGTCTGGGAGAACAGGTGTGGAGGCTGGGCCGGGGGCTACGAAGCTCACCTCGCACTGGTGCTCCGTCCATGATCTCATACTTGGCTATCGTGTCGTTCTCATGGTACACGTTGGGGCCTGTGCCCGTTGTTTCCCGCTTGATGATATCTATCTCCATGTGCTTGATTTTGATTCTCACCAGCAGGAAGTATATCTTCCCTACAATGACATCTTTCAAGTGGTATCTGGGGAAGAGAAAGTAAAGCATAAGACGTGTGTATAGCTGCCAACCCTGTGTACTCCTTCCTACAGGTGGTTCTGCCTACCAGCCACTCCCTGTCAGGTGACGGGGACATTGGTGGGCATGCACTTTAGTGGCTCCTTTTCAGGAAGCACACAGAGCCCTGAAACTGTGAGGAGAAAGGGGAAGAAGTCTGTTCCCTTACACATACCTTAGATCAAACTTCCTTCCCCGTCACCCTGCCCCACTCCATTGGTGGAGCCCAAGCCACACAGAGCCTGTTCTGGGTCACAATGATCATTTTACTGACACCCCACTTGGTTCCAGGCCAGGGGCAGGGAAAAAACACCTTTTCCTTACCCCTGTTCTAAGAAGCATGTATGTTCTTGGTTTTAAAAGTCCCTGTTCCCCACCCCTTTGCAGGACAGCCCCCCGCTGAGCTCCCTCTCCCCAGCGTCTGGCTGGCAGGGGCTGCGGTAAGGGCCGCTCTGAACAGCACGCACTGAGCTCTGCACATCTGATCTTCAAACATTTTCAAGAATGTACTGTATTGAGAAGATGCTGTGGTGCAGTTTTGAACCTTCATGTTGTGATTTACAAGCCCTTAAATATTTTCATGTTCTACCAGTAAATATGGTTTAAAACAAAGATGGCTTCCCTACTTGCCAGTCACAACTATTTAAAGACCTTTATGAAAAGGCATTGGGTATCCTTTGCTTCAATTCATTTTAGTTCAGAGAGAAAACAGCAAACTGTGGATGGTGTTTGGTTTCCTCACTTTGCCTTCCAAGGACACACTTGGGAGACAGGTGATAGCAGACTGGTATTTGAGATGACTCTCAACAGCCGAAGGAAACAGCTGTACCTACAACTCAAAACCAATAGCCCCCAAACTAATTTAGCTTGACCCTGAAAGACACAGGATGTTTGTCTTAATTTAATACAGCTTAGATTACGTCAAATGAGGTTGGACTTCCTGGTCAGTCTACCTTCAGCCTGTCTGGCACATATATTCCGTTTCACTAGCTTTCTCCCACAGCGTGTCACCACCAACTGGCTGAGGCAAGGGGCTTCCTGCACTCTGCATTCTGATCAGGCGCCATCTTACACTCCCTAAGCAGTTCTTCCACAACCGGGGCCCCCAGCACTTACTTGGACTTGTTGTACTCAAACTCAATGTGCAGACAGTCCTCGATCCCAACCTCCATCTTGATGGAGGAGTTCAGCTCTGGGTATGTGCTGAGTGTGTGAACTACAATGTCCATCTCTTTGACAACATCATTGAGGCGGCGGCTGATGGTGGCGCGAAGGAAATACCTGGAGGGTATGGACATGTCGTGAAGGAATCAGTCTGCTATCACCCCTTTTCCAGATGCTGCCCAGGGTTATGCACCAACTCGACCCACCCGACAGAGCCCGGGACAGCAGCTAGCCTTTGGAGCTTTGTATTCTTTGGAGAATTTACCCCTGTGGACCCTCCTCCCAGAAAAAATGCACATATGCACTTATACACAACAATTTGCAGTTCCAGTTCCAGGGTGTTCAAAGACCCTTCCCCCGAATCCCTTTTTGAGTTCATGCTCTGGGTTAAGAATGCTGCTCTAAGTCAAAGTGGTTTATCTGCTCTATATTCCAAGTATATGTCATTCCTGTGCCTTTCATGGCCGCATCACTATCTGCCATGTATCTGTGTGCAGGTTTTATGTCTTCAACTATCCTGGCTCTTTGGGCACAGGAATCTGTCTTATAGGATTATATTTGACGCCTGTTCATTTGACAACACTGAATTAGGAAGCATTTCCAAGCCTCTCACAGCTAAAAGGGAGGAAAGGGGAATGGAAACGAAGTCAGCTATTCATTCGGCAATGTCCATTGCCAGGCACAGGATGAATGAGAGATACCACCTCAAGGGAAGCTCAGAGAGCACTGGGAGAGAGGCAAGTAAACAGAGAAATCAGAAAACCGGGAGAGTGCTAACTTGGACACAGGAATCAAGTTCTGGGGGAGAGAGAAGAGGGCGTTTGGGAGAGCAAACTTTGCAAGTAAAGCAATAGAGGTGGGAGAGAACCTGGTGTGTTTGAACCAGGTAACTCTTGGCTGAACTGGGATCCTCGGGGAAGGGAGTGTGTGTGGTAGGGGGCAAGTCAGAAAGTAGGCCAAGTCTGACTTGCACAGCCAGCCACTGGAGTGTGGCCTTCCCCAGCATGCCTGTCGCCTTGACTTAACGCTATGCTAACACTCAAGGAGGGAAGAAACACCCCTTTAATTATAGTTTCTTCTAAATAAAACTTAGATAATGCCCACTGTCTTTCAAGCTTTCCTGGAGAAAATTGCTAACCAGATCAACCACACATTAGGCTCCTCTCTTCTGTGCGGCACCACTGCTTCTTGGCAGCCTTTTTATTCATCTCAGTGAGTTCTGCCACACTCCCTGAGACATCTGTTCCTAACTCCTTTCTAATTGTTCCGGCTACCAGCCCCTCTCCATGGGGGCACTGCTCTTACTATACGAACTCAACACATAATTCTCTCCTTTCTCTACTTTGTGCTGTTTCTTAGAGCCTGTGTGTGTGTGTGTGTGTGTGCCTTTGCCCATCTTTTTTCCTCCTTCCAACAGAACCTCTCTCTCAAGCCCTTTTCTCCTCCTCACTATGGGTGAGCATCAGAATCACCTGGGGGAGGGGCTTTAAAAATCCTGATGCCCAAGCACACCTGACATTTAAATGCTCTGGGAAGAGACAGAGGCATCAACGTTTTTTTAAAGCCACCCAAGTGATTGGAATATGGGAGCCTTGTCTGGCATCTTGATCCTTCAACTTTTCCAAATTTCTTAACATATCCAATCTCTCTCCAGCTAAAGGCTTCTTCCTTTGAGTTTATAAAAAAAAGTCCCCAAGTCATCAATCCCAAAAACACTGTCCAAGCCTTATGCTCTTGACCTTCCTTCAGACACAGCTGTCAGAGAGGGATCCAGTTCTAACTGCTGCAGCTTTTTCCCTAGTAGCTTCTCCTCACCCCCTGCTCCTGTTGCCACCACCCAACAGAAACTACTCTCCTGAAGCTAAACTACCCTCTCAGCCTCCCACTTGCCAAATCCAGTGGTAGGTTTTTCAGTGTCAGTTCTATGCTAGAGTGTAAACATTTACTCTTTGAAATGCTCTTCCCATGGTTCCACAGGAGGGCACGACCCTGCTTCACCTCCTACTATCCCCTGCCCTAACAGGTCCTGAGCTCTCCTCCTTGAAAAGCGGATCAGTTATCACCTCTGAGCAGATGATATCCAACAGCAAATTCCCGAATACCAGGTCTGCATTTCCAACCACCTGGTGAATTTCTACATCTCCCTATTCTGCCAGTGCTCCAGGCTTTAAAACGGGATGAATCATCCTATCCACGGATCATCTCTTCCTCCTTGCAGTCCTTGGCCTGCATCTCCACTCACTAGGAAACTCTGTGGATGTCTATTAAATTCCTGTTCTTTGCTGCCTGTTCCCATCATGTCCACTAAAGTGAAACTGCTAGGACCTCATACTAGCCTTCTAACAGTTTAGTGTCCACACTCTACCCACCCATCAAATACCACATATTGACTTTATATTCTTCCAAAAGAACCACTCCCCTGCCTACAAAAAATTTAAAAAGAGCCAATCTTTTCATGTTTTCCCTCTGCCTATGTAAAAAGATACAAGCCCTAATCTGGAATTTACATCTTCTATAAACTACCCTCAGCTAATTTTCCCTTCTTTATCTCCTCTCTTTCTCAACTTGAATTTAAAGTCTTTATCTAATTTGTACAGCAATACCACCCTTTCTTTTATTTTCTTTTTTATTGTGGTAAAATGTAGAAGGGGGTTCTGAGTATGCCACCCCCAAGTATGCCACTCTGGCACACGGATTGTCTAGAGCTGAAAGGAGCCAAGAAGCAGCAGACACAAGAAAACTGCTTTAGCCTCTCTCCCAGGAGAGCGGGTCGTTCTCAGTCCCCAGGGACAACTCGACTCTTAGCAGCCCAGAGAGGCACAGAGGAACCTGTGTAACCAACCTTGCTGAAACACCCTCATCTTCCACGCTTCCCCCACAGGTTTGCCTCCCACAGTTCGTTGCCCCTAGAAGCTCAAAGTCCCTTCCCTTTGTCTTGTCTTCAGTATTACTGTTTTTCTGGTTAAATGCTTTCATAAGCCCAAGTTCATTACTGTTTTCCCATCTATGCACACATGAATACATTTGTTTATCTTCTCTTGCTAATCTGTATTTCGTCAGGCTAATTTGCAGGGCCCAGTCAATGAACCTAAGAAGAGTAGGAAAAACGTGGGGTTTTTTTGTCCTCCACAATATCTATAACATTAAATTTACCATTTTAACCAATATTAAATGTACAGTTCAGAGGCATTAAGTACATTCACACTGTTGTGCAAACATCACCGTCACCCATCTCCCGAACTTTCTTAACTTCCCCAACTGAAACTGTTCCATTACACACCAACTATCCATTCCTCCTCCCCTCCGCCCCTGGCAACCATCACTCTACTTTCTGTCTGTATGATTTTGACTCCTCTACGTGCCTCATATAAACGAAACCATACAGTATCTGTTCTAGGACGGGCTATTTCACTTAGCATAATGTTTTCAAGATGTATCCATGCTGTAGCATATGCCAGGACTTCCTTCCTTTTCAAGGCTAAATAACACTCCGCTGTGTTTTAGCACACTGCGTTTATCCAGTCATCTGCCGACAGACATTCAGGTGGCATCACACTGTGGCTACTGTGAAGATGCTGCTGTGAATGTGGATACACAGACGGGTGGGCAAAAGTAGGTTTAATTTGTGGGTACACGAAACACAGTTAATGAAGCTATTGTAATAAGCATAACCTGCAAGTCTTTTTCCACACAAACAACTGTAAACCTACTTTTGCCCACCCCTGTGTCTCTTTTGAGGCGCTGCTTTCACTTCTGAGGGGTGTGTACCCAGAAGCGGAGCTGTTGGATCACATGGTAACTCTAGTTTTAATATTTTAAGAAATCACCATACTGTTTTGAACACCTTTCTTTCTGACATAAAAAATGTTCAAGCCCTGGCCGGTTTGGCTCAGCGGTTAGAGCATCGGCCTGCGGTCCAGAGACACCTGGGTTCGGTTCCCACTAAGGGCACGTACCTCGGTTGCAGTTTGTCCCCGGCCCTGGTTGGTTGTGCAGGTGGCGACCACTCGATGTGTCCCTTTTGCGTCGATGTTTCCCTCTCTCTCTTCCTCTCTCTCCCTCCCACTCTACCTGAACAAAAAATGGAAAAATGTCCTCGGGTGAGGATGATAAAAAAAAAAAAATTTCAAGAGAAATACATTGCAAAAAATAAAGTTAAATAACAATAAATCCCATAGCCAAGAATAGTGCTGCCTTCTCTGAACGCAGTTATGAACTGCTCTCTTTAGTTGGGGTAATGTCAGTGTTTAAACCTCTCTCCAAAGATTCAAAGAAAACAAAAGAAGAGCCTACAATCACTCTCCTGATGAAAGACGGTAAACCAGGGAGAAAGAAGGGGAAGAAAAGTCTTGCTATTTCTGTGACATTGATAGACCTAGAGGGTATTATGCTAAGTAAAATAAGTCAGACAGAGAAAAACAAATATCATATGAGTTCACTTATATGTAGAATCTAAAAAACAAACGAACAAGCAAAACAGAAACAAACTCATAGATACAGAGAACAAACTGATGGTTGCCAGATGGGAAGGGATTTGGGGAATTGGGTGAAAAAGGGGACAGGATTAAGAAGTACAAATTGCCTATTACAAGAACAGCCACAGGGATGCAAAGTACTTCATAAGGAATATAGTCAATAATGCTGTAATAACTATGTACGGTGTTGGATGGGTACTAGACTTATTGGGGTGATCACTTTTTAAGTTATATAAATGTCTAATCACTATGTTGTATACGTGAAACTAATATAATATCGTATGTCAACAATAACTGAAAACTAAAACTAAAAAATAAAATAAAAGGAAAAAAATAGTGTTGCTGTATTCTGCAGCATCCTAAACCCAGGCCTTCAGGTAATGAGAACAAGCTGATTTTAGGAGATAGTATCAAGACCTGGAATCAGCCAGGTCAGAGTGGCTCAGTGGATTGAGCATCGTCCCATGGACTGAGAGGTCCTGGTTTGATGCCCGGTCAGGGTACATGCCCAGGTTGCTGGCTCAGTCCCCAGTGGGAGGTGTGCAGGAGGCAACCAATTCATGTTTCTCCCTCACACCAATGTTTCTATCTCTCTCTCTAAAAAATCAATAAAAACATTTAAAAATATATATTTTTAAAGGATCTGGAAGCAGGTGTCCAGAGTGATGGTGGAAGTATGCTTTATCCCAGTGACATCACATAATCAAGAGACGATAGCTGCTCTGGATTTTTTTTTTTCAAACCCCAGAGGCCCTGGAACCAGTCCCTGTTCTTAGAGTTTCCAAGACTGGAACAATAAAAGCAATCCCACTTACTTAAACTGTGTTTATTAATCTTTTAAGAACTTGTTACACAGTTACATTTTTTTCTCTCATCACCTCTGAAAGATGGAGCAGGCAGACCTAGAATTAGAACCAAATCCATTACCCACTTTTCTAGTGAGAAAGCTGAGTGACAGCTCAGAGCCACATTGCTGTTGTGAGCAGAGCTGGATTAAGGATCAGTATGTCCTGATGGAAGTCGACTGTTGAATTTTCAGGAATGTTATGAATCAGGTGTTAAACACAGAAATTATTTACAATTAAGTTATATAAACTTACAATTGAATTAATTATATAAAAACAAAGGTAATACACACCAAAAATTCATGGCTTCCTAATTATCTTGCTCTTGGGGAATTTATATTTACTGTCTCCATATGATGGTAATGTTCAGTAAAGGTTACTGTACATCTCTCCTCAACTCTGCATTCAGGGATGTCAGGTTGGTAGCTTGAAATGGGCCATGGTGGGAATATTTACACTATGGAAATTAACAAATGCTACAAACCAGGGGTTTTTCCTCCCGGAGAGCATGTTGCTAAACATTTCCCAGCACACCACTGCTCTCTGCACTCTTCCTTCCCAATATCCTTATAAAGATCCTCAGAAATGTGGACAGCTTCCAGTCTGGTCCATACCGGGCAGTTTCTGGGGCAAGGTGGGGCACAACTTACCGGAGCTTCACATTCTGCCCTGTGTAGGACTCATACGGCTTCTCCACGTGGGTGAATTCAAAGTCGAAGGCCTGTGACTGGGTAATTTCTCCAGGCCGTGCCAAGTCCTTCACCAGGGACACAAATTCATGGTGGTTCCCGCGGTCATAGTAGAGTTCTGGAGAGAGAGCATCGACCTCCTCTATCAGACCCTGAGCTACCCAGAGCCTGGCAAGGGGCTCCAGGCTGCAGGCACCTATCTTTAAAAGACCTTCCCCACAAACAGACCTGGTTTTGACTCCCTCTTTTCCTGACCCACTCCTTTGCTGCATCCCTCATACACTGGTCTCCCTCCACCTCCCCCCTTTCCAAATCTTCTGTTTTATATAGAGGAATCCCGTGCACAGTGAGAACCCACTATAATCTTGCTCAGGACCTCAGGGCAGCACCTTAGGAAGGGATAACCAGGAGATCCACTACCAAAACACCACACTTTAAAACCACATTTAAAATATTTGTAACTGTTAAAGCATATTCATCAGTATTTAATCTTATCCTGTTTATAAGAACTTCGTGTGACAGCTAAGACAGGCCTTATCACCAAAGTGAAATCTGAGGAAACTGAGGCACAGTGTAGCTAAGTAACTGGCTTAGAGTCACAGGGCTGGCCACAGTGCTGAGATCAGAGCAAGTCTCCTACTGGACTGAGTCTACTTCTATGACCTAGTAAAATGGTGGCGAGGGGGGGGGGGATAGAACTCATTTCATAAGGTTTTGTAGGAATTAAAGGAGGCACTGAAGGTACAGGATTTAGAATAGTACCTAAAAGATAGCAAACACTCAAAATATTAGCTGCTAGCTGATCCATGTGGCCAATCTGACAGAAGTTTAATGTTATTACCTCCCCCAAAACAGTGCTTCTCAAACTTCAGGGGGCATCAGAATCACTTGCAGGGCTTATGAGAACACATTGCGGGCCCCACCCCCCCAGTTTGATTGAGGGGGGCCTTGGGGAGGGGAGCTGAGAATTTATATTTCTAAATGTTGATGCTGCTGGTCCAGGGACCACACTTCGAAAAGCATTGCTCTAAATTCACCTTCCCCTAAAAATAGTTTTAGTATATTTCTTTATTGTAAGTTCATGCCACCCATTTACCCTATGTTATTTTGTGCCTCTTTGTACTCTGCTATTTAACTTTTGGCCCTGGCCCGTTTGGCTCAGAGGTTAGAGTGTCAGCCCTCAGATCAAAGAGTCACAGGTTCGATTCTGGTTAAGGGCTCGTACCTCAGTTGTGGTTCAGTCCCCAGTCCTGGTCAGGGTTGTGTGGAGGCAGCCAATCGATGTCTCTCTCTCACATTGATGTTTTTTTTCTCTCTCCCTCCCTCCCACTGTATCTGAAGATAAACAGAAAAATATCCTCGGGTGAGGATTTAAAAAAAATATTAACTTTTGCTAGTACTTTATGCATGGTCGTTAGAAGTAAGGCCTATATGCCCAGATTCCTGGCATCCTCCTTAACCCAGCCCGGCTGCACAGTAGACATTTCATACTGACAGTCACTATACATGGCCAAGGTACAGTCCAGGCCCACCCCCTGGGCGTTTCTGGCCTCAAGTCCTATGCTAGGCTGCACCCTGAAGTAGGACAGACCAAATGGGAAAATGGAGCAGGCAGAGTGCACTCGCCACTTCTGCTGCTGGCTGCTTGCGGATATAGACAGGTCCATAGAGAGGAGTGTCCGGGACAACCATCCACAGGCCTGGTCCCGGATCTCCAGTGCACAGCAAGCAATCTCCCTCAGGGATACCTATGCATCAGGGACACCTAAGCATCAGGGACATGGGACAGAGATGTTTTGCTCTGGGTCCAACCTGGACAGCACAAAGTCTGAGCCCTAATCACAATCAAAGCCATCCTGAGCCAAAGAACCAGCTCTCTTGCCTCCCCAAAGCCAACACAGTGTCCAGCCTTGCCCACAGGGAGAATCATGCCCAGAAGGAGAAAATGGTTTCAAACAGTGCTTTTAGTCTGAATGCTGCTCTAGGAGCCGGCCCTGCCATACCTATTCCACGGGGAACACTTTTCCCCAGACAGGGATGCATTCTTAAACAGAGTGAACTCCATTCTAAAGATGTAGCCAGTTCATAAAGGCGGTGGTGGTGTGGTTACATACGGTGCTGCTACATTTGTATGAATGTATACTGTATTCTGTGATTACAGTTGTTGCTGATTTCCTACCTAGTTAAACTTTGATCCATTTTATGTTACAAACAATCCACCTTCTCTCCCAAACACTAAATGGAACCAGCAGTAGGCAGCATTCTGGGTAGTGAGTGATAATCCACAGTCATTAAAAGGGAGATGACAATTGCAAACTATGGGGGAAAAGGTGAGCAACCAATGCTAGTTTCAAAATCCAGTAACTGTGCCCCTCAATAAAATGATCTGCAGTGATTAGATAGGAGTGGAGCCACTGGCCAGGCCATGTCAAGGGCTCCTCCACTTACTCTTGCTGGTCCACTGCTATATGAGCCCTTGTTGATGATCCAGGCTCTTATGTGGACCCTGACCCCTCAACTGGGGAACCTGGTGCTCAATTCCCAAGCACTGGATTCTGGCCATAGTTTCAGGGGACAAAGGCAGGTAGAGCAAGGCCTCAGTGTCCATCATCTTAAGGTGGGAGATCCCAGAGTCAAGAGAAAGATTGCAAAAGAAGGATGGAAAAATACACAAATGTGATTACACAGCTCAAAGGCAACACGAGAAACAAAACAGGATCCGCAAGCGCTCAGAGAGCAGTCAGGCTGCCAGTATCCGAGGATCCTAGCAACGGTCTGCCTGACCCAGCAGGGGAACCGGGCTTGGCCAGGACCTCTGGCAGAAGAGATCCTTCCCTGCATAGCATCACGTTCTCCTTCAGGCTTTTCCTCCTGGACACACATTAACACAAGCCCCCACACCAAATGTTATGGAAGAGTGATCAGTGTGTAGTCTGAGTGAGGCTGAACTGGGCTTTTTTCATTTGTAATTTAAAAGTTGTTTGCAATTCTTTTGCAAATACTGTTGAGGCAAAGGAGCAGATATAGCAGCCATATTTTGCTATTTGCCAAAAAGTTTGGTTTCCTCTCATATAAATTAAATTTTAAAATCCAAGGCTCTTCTAGTGAGAGGTTTAGATCCTAAAAGGGCAGTAAGTTGTCTCTTTTTTTTTTCCCCAAAGATGCAGGCATAAGTCAGGCCTAGTTCTTCAGGGACTAGCCCTCAGGGACTAGCCATTTCAAGCTAAAAGTCTGAACAGACCAAGGTTTTTGTTAAGGTAAGTTCCCTGTCTTCAGCTTCCTTCTCCATCTCACAGGAGGAAATGAGTTTTGTAGTAAGGATGCTTTCATGGTGAAACTTGCCACCAACGGCTGAGGAGTGAAATTGCCACTTTGGAAGGAAATTGAGCCAGCCGTTCAGCACAGTGCCATCCAAGGAAAGACACCGATGCTGCTGCTGGGCCAGGACCATGTTTGGTCCTGGCTCCATGGTGGTCTCGGAAGAAACTACGTTACCAAGGGCAAAAGGACCTCCGAAGCCTCCTCTTCGGCCTGATTTTCCCAAGCACTGTTTGCTGACGGGAAGCCCAGTTAAGATTTGTTCTGGCCACTCTGCTCAGATCTCCTGGGCCCTAATAAATCTGCAGGGCAGTCACACCCGAGCTGCCCATAGCCAGCCAGGCACCGCTCTGCTCCAAGCCCTGCGACACTTATTAACAGGCTAGGATCAATCCATTTAATTTCAATGTGCCTTTTACTTAGCATTTCATGGGTGAATGAATTAAAATACAGAAAGCCTCTGGAGTTTTTAGAAGTACAGGCTTCATTGATAGTGATGAGTTCAGATACATCTAGTGGCATTACTTTTAAAAACTTTAAAAAAATCAGATATTATCTATTTGGCTTTTGGAGGGTATTCATGTCTGCCGTCCTCTGCAAGTTTGACCTTCTAATTACCTTTGGTTTATTTAACCCCATTGGTTGCTATGGTGGCCCAGCTCTGCCTTACTTACGCCACCAGTGTTCCCCAAGTGATTCCAGCTGAAAAACGGTCTTTTCTTCTAACAATGACAGCACTTCCCTCAAAGCTCCTTACACACAACATTGCATTCTTCTTAAAATGTAGGCCATTAGCTGCTAGAGTGACACAGGAGATGCCCTCACCACACCTTTGTTGGCATTGATCGAACATAGACTAAGCCATAGGGAAAAGTACATGAGGTGCAGGAAGAATCCCAATGCAGATAAAAAACTTACTGGTAACAGAAAAACATATAGGACACAAGTAAATAAATAAGACTTTACTATACACTCAGGGGCAACACTCAAACTGCAACATCTGAGCAGTGGTGCAGAACTGTACGGACCATAGCTCTGACAACTCGTACTGTCTTCTAGATGGGAAAATCAGCCTCCACTTGGCATAAGGTGTGATGAAAGAAAGCTGCGAAAGCAACTGAACTGACACCCAGCTTTAACATTTCTGTATCCAGCTCCCTCAGTGAAGATGCTGCACAAGTAGGTGCAGGCCTGTTGGTCGGTGAATCATCTTAGTTCTCGGGCCTGGAGTAAGGACTGCACCCACCACATCAGTGCCTCCGCCACCAGCACGAGCAGGAAGCCCGGCCTCCTAACAGTAACCAGCAAAGCAAACCTGCACTCTCCCGTTCTTTCATTAAAGTAACTCTGGTTTAGCCCTGGCCGGTTTGGCTCAGCGGTTGGAGCATCAGCCTGCGGTCCCGAGAGACCCAGGTTTGGTTCCCGCTGGGGGCGCGTACCTGGGTTGCAGTTTGTCTCCAGTCCTGGTTGGTCGTGCGGGTGGCAGCCACTCGATGTGTCCCTTTCGCATCGATGTTTCTCTCTCTCTCTCTCTTCCTCTCTTTCCCTCCCACTCTACCTGAACAAAAGAATGGAAAAAATGTCCTCGGGTGAGGATAAAAAAAAAACACACAAAAAAAACTCTGGTTTAGCCCTGGCCGGTTTGGCTCAGCGATTAGAGCCTCAGCCTGAGGTCCGGAGAGACCTGGGTTCGGTTCCCGCTAAGGGCATGTACCTTGGTTGTAGTTTGTCCCCGGCCCTGGTTGGGTTGTGCGGGATGCAGCCACTCGATGTGTCCCTTCACGTCGATGTCTCTTTCTC